TCCTGTCCACAAGCCCGCTTTACCCACCTGAAACAGAGACGTCCTCCAGAAAGTGGGTGTCTGAAACTAGGCACTGAGAAGTCATGTACCATGAAGATGGTACTTTATCTAGGGGAATGGTGATTCTCTGGTCCATTTGCCTCAATAAGTAACACTTTAAAAAGACTTATGGTCTCATATCCTCATGTATAAAGGTCCTTACTTATAAAGAAAACACAATTCTGACATGAATTTTTGAGTTGATGTTTTCAACCACTGAACATACCTATGGAGGTCCAAAATGTGTTATATAGATGAGTCATTAGTCACAAACACAGCCTCTCTTCCTAAAATGGGTGAAATGAAGTGGTTCTCAGAAACTGTGTCACATGTAGTATTTTTCTGATTGTGTAAAATGATTTAATAGAATGATAGGGAAGCAAGGAATTTTTTTTCGGGCTGAACATAAACACTGCTACAGTAATTACCCAAATTATTTTTTCTCACAAAATAAGCAATCTCTAACTTGTCTGGGTTAAATGTTTGACCTTTCTTGCATTACATTAATTTTAGGGCCACAAATTGGATTCTCCATCTTCAGTCTTGAATCTGTTTTCTAGGCAGGAGAACAGGAGAATCACAATAGGAAAAAAGGGTGGTCCTTACTTCATGGAAACCGGATTTTCCCAGAGATGTGTCATTTAGAACTTTTGTTTGTGTTCCACTGGCAGAAACAGTATCCAACAACCCCTACCTTGTAAGCAAAGAAAGACATGGGGCTTTCAAACTGAACGACAGAAGCTCTAGGCTTAATTAGAGGAAGCAGGGCCCAGATAGTGAGTAGATAACTCATATAGATTCCTTCCTAAGGTCACTCACTAGATGTGGTTATATGGAACTCATAGTCTGGTGAATTCAAAATAGGCAATGGTGAGGTGTGACCCAGGCATGAAATCCTTCCATTGAACCACCAGAAAAGGTTTGTACAGTCAAGAAGGCCATGCACAGTCAAGAAGGACACAAAACTCAGTGATATATTCCTGAATCCAGCACATATTCAAGCTATACACATCCTGCAGCATGGATTAGCTCTTTCTCAACGATGGGACCATACATGCTTATGAGTAACTCTTCAAGCTTTGTGGCCAGTCATATTTCTTCCCAAGTTCCACTCACAGCAGTTACGAATCAGAGCAGCCCATGGGATGATGTGTGTGCAAATTCCTGTCATTACTGATGCCAGATGATGAGACTATAGAAACCATAATGTAATAGTTGACATGACCATCCAAATTCATATAATTTCTAAGCAAAATACATTTAACATGCATCTTTCTCTTTCAGGTAACAAGTCAACGGGCCACATGTACCCAAGGATGCAAAATACAAACATGACATTTGGGGGTGACATTTTGTTTTTGTAAATCTGTCGTGAGGGTCTCAAGCACAAACTCTGCAAATGATGATGATGTCACAATGTCAAAAGCTTGTACATGCCATACTCCTCTGTGGAGTCATGCAAAGATCCACAGTTGTATTTTGTTATTTCACCAATCTGAACAGTACAAACTTTTGTGACACAAAATTGTTCCTTGTCTCAGCAGCAAGACAGAGAATGAAGTCTCTTATCCTTAAGAGCTAACAAGGATACTGTATGTATTTTTCCTCATCAATGTGGTCACTGCACCAAAAGAGGCTTTTGTTTCTTCTACTGAGAACTGAGGTTTCTACTTGGAGAGAAAAATAATATAATGAGAATCTGAGAAGATGAACATCATTCTCTACCAGATGCAGCCAGGGAACAGAAGAGCTTAAAGAATTCATCTTAAATGATCTTGTGTGTACATGTGTGATGGGTATGGGTTCCCCCCACCTCTGTGTGTGTGTGTGTGTGTGTGTGTGTGTGTGTGTGTGGTGTTTGCACATGCCAGGTTTGTGTATGTGGGTACAGGTTTGTATGTGGTATACAAGTCTGGTCAAAAGCAACCTCTGTCTGGTCCTCAGGTACTGGCCTTCAGCCTTGGTTGAGACAAGTTCTCTTCACTGTCCACAATTACATTACACCACCAGGCTAGCTAGCCCAGGAACTTCCAGTGATTATCCTGTCTTTTTCTCCTACTTCACAAGAGTACTGGGGCTACCACACCCCGTGTTACGTACATCCTGGGGATTTCAAACGGAGGGCCTCATGTTTACACGGCCATCTCCCTGCCAAACCATCTCCCCAGCCTACGCTTAAGGAATTCTAGGGTTCTGGCCCCACAATGACCAGTTTCAATTGGCATTGCTCCATAACGAACCACACTAAAATTTGGTGGCTTACAATGGTGATTTATTATATTGGATGCCTCTGTCAGGAACTTGGGATGGCTTGGCTGAGCAGATAGATGTACAAGTGAGTTGTCTGGGGCCTTTCATTCAGCTGCCCCTGGGCTGAACGGAAAGGTCTAAGATGGCCGTTTGTCTAATGCTTTGTTGCTCCCTACAAGACAGGGATGCTAGGACCTCAACTTAGTTCTTTGGAAGATCATGATGCACTCGAAACCTTGAGACATCTCTCCAGCCCTAAGGGGTGCTTATACAGTGATACAGCCCCACAGCACACTGGTGAATGCATGTGAACACACAGTACCTTAAACAAACTTTTGGCCAGAAGCTGTTTTAGCTAACATTTTCTCCATAGCCCATTTCTGCTCTCTCCTGAGATATGTGCATTATTAAGACCAATAAAATACTTTTCTAATCCCTTGCTCTAGCTTATCAAGAGAAGATCACCAAGAGCTCCTACAGTTTGTCACTTAATTAAGTCCAAAATAACAGTTGACCGAATTGACTGGAAACCTTGGTTTTCCTCAACATGAAGTCAAGACAGCTACTCTCCAGTGGAGTGAATCTTCAAGTGCAAAGACTGAGTTAAAATGTGCCTATATAGTTTATATTTAAAGTCATCTGAGGCATAGTATAAACATCCAGCAAAGCTATTGTGGCAAGCTGGATTAGTAATAACATGAGGGTATTTACATGTTCACATATATGCATTCCTGGAAACACTGAGTGCAGACAAATAGAGAAACACTACAAAATAAGCAAAAAATTCAGCATGGTTATTTATTGACTATAGGTTTCACAACATTTATTGCTTAATTCTTCATGTTAGTAGCTGCAAAGAAGCTCTTGGTTTGGTACCTAAGTATTTGACTTTTCCATAGACAATAGTACCCCAGACTTAAGCAGAACCTAAATAAGTTATGAATAAATAACTCAGGTGTCTTCCCTGTCAGACTATTCATAAAGGTTTCATATCAGAGTTCAAGGACTCTTGGAACTCCATCCTTCAGTGAGTGCTGGTACTGTGGTTTGGAACATAGACTATACACAGATAGTGCTCTCAGATCCAGCAGAATACAAGTCATTTTCCTGAAGGAGTAGGTGGAAGAGGACATACTGAGGGGGTCTGGGACCTTCAGCTCCAACTCTCTCCCACACTTCACTTCCTCAAGTGGACCTCCACATGAGAATCCTGAATCATGGGAAAAACTTCCTTGCTCGTCAATCTTGTCCAGTAAGCACACAGATTCTACCTCTCCCTATAACCACAAGAAATAACCACCCTAAACCATGACCTATCTGTCATGAGTCATGTCATGCCATGTCATGTCATGAGGAATGAAGTCATTCTCTGCTGGGCCCTAGTCTGTTGGGAAGTTTATGAACAATGATGGGACAAATATAAGTTAGTTTCTTGCCAAATGTCTTCCAATGAGTACTGTCAACATTCCTACCTGTGGTTTCTTAAAAAGATGGATGTGGCTGTCTTACCATTCGTTTTTAAGTACCACACAATGACTGGATCCTTTGTGTCATTCATAAATCTCTTTTCCCAAAGGAAAGTAATGACAACAATGGATGAATACACTAATGTGTTCAGGAAGTTGATAAGTGCCTGTTACTGACTCTGAATCAGCAAGAGAGAGGCTGGCCAGAGTCAGACTGTTCAGAAAGGCTAATCTCATTTTTAAAAAGTGTTTTGCTTTTGAAATGCAAGAGAAAAACAAAGGAAATGAAATTCTGACCCATAGGGGAACATCTATATTCAAGAGAAATGTAATTTCAGGACAGGAGTCAAACCTGGTATTGTTTTTACTGAGTGATGATTTCCAAGACTTACAAGGTGGCATGAGGTCATAGTAAGAGCTACAAGTGACTAATACTTTGTGAATTCAAAGGTCAAATTCTGCCCCTAAGGTTATGTGCTCCTGGTATATGTTAACAAACTACATAGAAAAATCACATGAAGCTCTAGCTGTTAAGGCACCCTCTGTACAAACTTTGTACATAGGCAAACCTCTCTGATCCTAAGACCCCAAACCTATTGCAGCATGATGCTACAACTGAAAAATTCCAGTACATGAAACTTGACTTCATGCATGTATTAAAAATATTGTTTGAAATGACTTTTAGGGTACGTATAGCAAATATATGAAACAGAAATGAATCTCCTGACTGGACCTGGGTCCCATTCCCATAATCACTGCATATTTTAGGACATCTCGAATGACATAGGTGTCTCATTAATACACAATATTACAAAATGGGACTTAGGTCCCACGAAGTTTAGATAAAATGTTTTCAGATTTTCCTGAGTCGACATCTGATGGCTTTTCTAACAGCCTCTGTGACACACAAATATCACCAGGTCAGCAACAGGGGACATTCACTGAAACACAGAGAGATTTTGTCTCTTCCTGACATGGCAGGTATCAGCAGGTGGCCATGCATGTAAGGTTAACTACTGAAGAGAAAAATGGAGGAGATCTCACGTATTTTTATCTTCACTATCTGTGGCCTGGATAGTTGTGAATTATGGGCAATCTAAAGCATATTTGTCATTTCTTTAATCCCTGAAGAGTAAGTCAGCAAAGAGGCTACTGGTGGATGTTTCTCTCATGTTTGTAGCAAAGCAAAGCAAGCAAGCCAAAATGCATAGCGACAACGCTTCTTCACACTACACAGACACTGCAGAGATATAAAGATTACTTTACTTTTCAGATACTGACACACAATACATTAGGAAATTGTTCAGTTGAATGACTATTGTGTATGAGCTAAACTTAGTGGAATGATGGCATAGCCAAAGAGTCACCTGTTAAATACATCTTTGCTTCAAATGCACAAAACACCCACGGGGATTACATCGGACCCTTGATGCCATCCTCACACTGAGTAAACGGTATGCAGTGACCTGGGTGCCTGTCATTTCACATAGGCTTCAGAGTGAGGATACAGCAGTTCTAACATGTCCCACTCACTGTCTCTGAATGGTAAGGCTCTTCATTGCTTCGACGGCATCACAGTTTTGGGCATGACTCTTCCACGGCTGGCAATGCTCCCCCACACAGCAAACCTTCTGTGGGCTTCAGAGCACACATCTTGACCTTTGCAGTGCTCCTGCAAGCTTCATTTGTGAGATACCTACTTCACGGGGAAAGCATCTAGCCTTGCTCCAACAGACCATTATGCTTTCCTTACATAGGTAATTAATACGACAAACAAAAATCTAAAAGATTAAAACCTCAGGCACACGTGCAACATGAACCAGCATGTTTGTGTCTTGTTTCAGGGAAGAAACCTCAACAAAGCAGAGGAACACAGAGCAGGTCTCACCATCAGAAAGGAGAACTGGATATCATACCCATGTCCTACAAAGAAATAGCTCGAAGCCCTCAACTGGGAGGCAGGAATGCTCTGGTCTGTTAAAATAAAGTTGAGGTTGAGATTGCTTAGCGCAGCAGCAGCAGAGGAAGACATTGGTTCTTGCTGTCATGTTGGTCTTTAAAGCAAATCAGCTTCCTTTCAGATTTCCTGATCTAGCATGATGCAAGGGGGTGAAGACAAAGGTCCTATAGACTAGGCAACTGAGACATTATAGAGGTTACCTTCTGTCCCCCCCCCCCAAGGTCATCAGACACAGAAATGACCGAGGAGTTCGGCAATGCCTCACTGCCATGCACAGGGACTAACACAGGGAGGAAAGAGAAAGAGCCAAATTTTCATCAGAGTTTCCCGCTACATTGTAATTCTTATGAGCTGTTTTCCGTTAATTGCCTTCAGTTCAATGACGTTATTTCTGGATCTGCCTATTATTATTGGTTAATTCTAATTCATTGTCTTATTTCATTTAACAGCATAAATGCAATGAGGCACAGTGTTGTGTATATGCAATGTGGAATGAATTGAGATTACAGGCTATGACATGTATAAATAGCTTCACACACCATTAGACATCTGAGTGTCTATGAACTAGGAAAAACACTGAAGGAATCAGTTAGATACCAAGGCCAAGTTAGATACCAGTTTGGAGAGACAACTTTTAGACTATGGAGAATACAGGGTCTCTGCCATTGTAGATACTCCTAGGAGTTATATGTTGAAATTGTTGAAATAGATTATGATAGAAGAAATGGCTGATATATAACCTTTTGCTGATGACCTATATCTGGAAAGTAAATACCTCTTTGCTCTATGAGTTCTATAATTGGGTGGAACTCATAGGAAAGGCTATAAACTGAATGCCATCAAAGAAAACCTCTATAAATTTCATTCCTGCTAATGACTGTAGGATGCTTTCAAACTGTGTGGCCTGGGGCTGGAGAGATTGCTGCTCTTCCAGAGGACAAGAGTTCGAGTCACAGCACCCATGTAGTGACCAAGAACCACCTGTAACTCTAGTTCAAAGTTATCTGACTCCCTGTTCTGACCTTCATGGGTAAAAGTCATTTATGTAAAACAGATACACGTGAAGAAAATATTCATATAAATAAATAAATTTAAAAAAAATTCAAACTCTGTGGCCTAAGAAACCAGTACTTTGGTGTTTGTTTTCTGTTTCAACTAAATAAAGGCTTAAAAGGCACAGCTTCCCAATTCAAATTTCCAAACAACGTCCTTATCGTTTGTATACTACCAACTCAGAGACCGCAACTTCCTCATCATTAAAATACCCGAAGACTTCAGTCCTGCAGGTGGGATGGTTGTACGCTACACTTCACCTTTACAGTTTGCCCAGAACTGTCGCTGCCCTGTTATGATGCTGCTGAGGAAGCAGAAGATGCTCATGTTATTGATTTATTAGCATGTGTGTCTGTGCTTCACAAGTCAAATCTAGTCTATCACAAAATGATTTATACCCAGGCTTTACAGACACCCTTGGCGGATCTTTGCTCGGAACTCGCAGAAGCCATCTAGCATTCAGGATGGATTGCTTATGGTGGAATCAGTGTTTGACTTAACTTGACTTTCTTTACAGACTTCACATACATTATTGCTCTCAAATATCATCTTAAAAAAACAAATATAATATACTTATGATAAAACAACGACTGATTTTCTTGAAATGTTTAGGACCAGCAAAACGACCACATATAAAAACAGTATATTTTTAAGAAACAAAAAATAATAAATGAACAATTTAAATTACACATTTAAAGTAATGATTTCAAGGTTCCCCAGAGACTACCAGGCAATACAGAACAGATCTCAACACGGTACAGCAGATTTCTGACTTCCGGATTTGTGGGATGCGGAACTGAGCTCAGTATCTGGGATTCTGCAGAGAACAGACACTGACAAAAATCACTTCTTATCAAAAAAAATTAAAAAGCAAGATTATTTTCACTGTAAGAAAGCAGCCAAAAAGGAATGGCTGCGGTGTAAATATCTGTGTTTCTCTTTTCCTCAGTGGGGGCTGCATAGTCTGCTGGTGAAGAATGTTAGACAAACAGATGGTTTTCCTTTAGTGGCTGGTCCCCCATATCTGTGTCAGATAAAATCAAAGCGCTTCTTATGTGTTACCATGGATACCATGAAGATACTGCCATCCACTAATACTATTAGAGGAAGACAACATAGTTTTCAGGGACTAGTCCTGTTCTGCCGTCATACGTCGCCTTCAGCCATCCTGGTTCCACAGACGGGTGCACTGGTCAAAGGAAGGAACAAATCAACGTGACCCAGGTGAGACTAGCTTCAAGTGATTACCGCAAACTAACAGCCACCCAAGAGTCTACGGGCACAGCCCCTCTTAAGCTGGAAGCTCTTAGTACTCACACAATCAATTAGATAATCTGTATTTCTCTAAAACACCACCCCCTCCTCTATTTTTTTTTTTTTTGGAAAGGGTGTATTTGCCAGGCCAGCCTTGTAAGATTCATTATGTAGCTATGGCTGTCCTCTAACGGGCAGTCCCCGTGCCCTGACAGTCAGGAGTGTGCTACCATGGCTGGCTTGCTTATTTCTCTTTTGGATACAAGTGAGTAAATGCTCCTACGAGGGATGCTGGGGTCTAGAAAGCAGGGTGTATTCACTCATACCAAAGATTTGGGTTTGGAATCTGATGCTGCCTGCCCCCTCACCCTATGTAAAGGACATATGTACTCACCATTGGAAAAGATCGCCCCCTGGGGGAAGGACAGTTCATGGCTATGCTCTGCTTTGCAGGAGTACATGGCTTTGGCTTGGCTGCAAGATCAAGGCAGTTTATAAAAATAACACTCAATTCAAGTGTAGCCAAAACTATTCTTACTTAATGATACTTAGAATACAATACAAAGATGGACACAAATAGGCTGGCATGGGTGTGTTCTTCACAACTGTATGTGATCCTATTGTAACCAAACCAGACCTGTCCAACTCACTGACGCCCTCCTTGGAAACACTTCTTGTGTTTCTAGACAATACATCCCAAGGAGACAATACAATCCCCAATGAATAGTGTCGGCTGATTTTAAATATGCTGTGGTTTGTCAGAAATGAATAGGCTACTTTTGTGTTTTGTTTTTTCCCCACTTTAATTTTCAGGCTACCTCAGACCCAAGAGGTACGGTTAACTGTTGAGTAGGTGTGACGCTAGGTTAGCAGCTGAGGGTACCAAGGACAGTCAGCAACTGCCACCTCATTGTCTAGGCAGTGGGAGGCACAGATGGAGGCTTTGCAACCAGAGAGGCAGTCATGTCCCCCTTAAAAACAACAGCAGCAAACCCTATGCCTGGCACCGCGTGTTGCATACAGAGACTTTGGAGTCCTAATGGTAACCAGAATTTGGGGCTTTTGTATGAGGGCTGGTCTAGAAACAGTGGAGCCAGCGCTGACCAGGAAGGAAGTCACTAGGCAAGTCCCCACTCCTCTGCCACATTCAGTTATGTTCCAAAGACCTGCCACTTCCGGACTCCACCTACCATCTCTTCCCTCAGCACAGCGATGCCATTTCTGGGTTTATTGATTTGGTGGCTTCCTGCTCTGGTCGCCTGCCATCCCCTTATCAACAGGGCAACCCCGCACCCATCAGAAACCTAATGGCGATCTCGCCACCATGGCATTCTTCACAGCTTCAGGGACTGCTGGCCAGGCTTCCTCCTGACCACCCTTCATCGCTCTTTGCCCGATTCGTAAGTGGCACCATTTCCTCAAGACTGAGCCTTCTTCGCTCCACTCTGTAAGCTCTGCTGCAGACACCCTCCCCTTCACCTGTGTAGAAGCACTGACGTCTGCAAGTCTCTCTACTGCAGAGAACTCCGGGCTCTCTACTCCTGGTATCCATTTCCGGTAGTCTCACCTGTCCCCCAGGCTCCTTGTACTCTAAGTCTAAAAACGCGCCTGTCTCCTTTTATAAATACAAGCAGAATTTAGAAACAAAGCCACCTGGCGCTTGTCCTCAGGTGTTTGGCACCTTCTCCGCGCACCTCTCCCTCTCTGAGCACGTGTGCATCCAGATCACAGCCTGGAAAGGCCCTGCTGACAAGTGTCTGCCCCTCTGAGTGAATCCCGCCAGTCCCATTCAGAATGGCCAGCTATCCTCTCCCTTCTTCGGTCTCTGAAAAGCCACCCGAATGGTCCACGTGCATTCCTGAGTCATTACCGCCCTCTGCTCCACGGCAGCCAGAGCCCACGTGGTTCTTGGAGGCAAGGCTTTTGTTTGGCTCAAGAGTATCCACTGGTTAGATATCTCCTGCCTCTACCCATCTATTATCCTTCAATGCCTCTGGCAGGGTTCTCTGTGAAGTCCTTACAAGGCACACCAAACAGGTATGAGGGAAGTCAGGAAGAGGCCCTCGTGTGCAATTCAGTTTCAGTCAAGGCCACAAAAGGTCTCAGAGGAGCCTGGTGTGCTGAAGTTCAGGAACATATTCATTAGAAACGTATCCATCAGAATATCACGCATGGTTATGAGTTATAATTTCAATTACAACCACAACAATAACAGTTATTACTGAGGAAGAGAACACCTCTAATGCACCTGCCATATATTTCAAACACATTATTGTATGTACTCACAGCCTGTTTGGTAAATGCGGAATTAGGACCTTCATTTTAGATACGGAGTGTGGATTCCTGAAATGTGTGACTAAGGGGATTACAAATATTGGCCCAAAAGTTTGAGTGAAGGCCCCTGAGGATGATGTGTGGTCCACAGTGTACAGGGCTCACTGAAAACTAAGGATGCTGTGCGTGGATGTTGGGATTGGTTAACAAGGGAACCCAGAAGTCTCTGCTGAAGACTGTTAGAAGCTGATTTCTGCTTTAGAGTGTATAAAGTGTTTTAAATTCACAGGCTGTTTGCCAACCCTCTAGGTGTGTCTCTGTCATGGGGTAGCCTTCTCAATTCATTGACAGCTTGCTTGGCTAACTCTCCCAGGGTTGTCTTTATAATTACAGTTCCAGCCAGCTTCCATATCTGTAGGCCCCTCCTCAAACACAGATTCAACCACCAACCACGCTGAAGTATTCAGGAAAAAAATGCATCTGTCCTAAACACATTCAGATCTTTTTTTTTTTTTTTGGTCAGTATTTCCTAAATGACATAGATATAATATCTGTTTACACAGCATGTGTGCTCTAGGTGTTTTAAACAGTCTAGCAATAGCTACATCAAGGCAGACGTAAGTAGTTACTATGCAAATGACATGTATGGCATTTGAGAGGGTGAGCAGCTATGAGTTTTGTACACCGGAGGAAAGGTCTTACAATCAGTCTTTTAGTAGATACAGAAGGAGGCTTGTTGAGTGTTTCCTTAACAGGAAGACTGCTTAGCACCTCACGATAGAAGGGCTCCATCTAGTGGAGCAATTCGACCACACAGTGTTTCCCAACCTTCCTGAGGCCCTGACTCTTTAATACAGTTCCTCCGGCTGTGGTGACTCTCAGCTACAACATTATTTCATTGCAACTTCACAACTATAATTGCTGCTGCTCTGAGTCATAAATACCTAATATGCAGGATGGTCTTAGGAAACCCCTGTGAAAGGGTCATTTGGTCCACGGCTGGGTAGACAGGCAGAAGTGCAAGGCCACGCCTCACACACTGATGCCAGACGACAGCAGCAGTCTCAAAGACAGGAAGCTTGCTGGGCATGCCGGCTCAGCACCCTGTGCCTTCTCGGGGAGAAAGCTGGTGAAGATACCTGGACAGGTGTGCAGCAATCATCCCACTGAGACATCGCTGCGACTCCTCATCGGAAGTCAAAACAGCAACAAAAGACAAGTGTGCAAGCTATAGGTGAGACTTTGAACAAAATGTAAGGGCCTGAAGGTCACTGTTACCCGTAATGACTAGCATGTGCATACAACCATCCTGGCAGAAGGGACTCTAAGGGGAACTCTTTTGTGTCCCCCTTTGGTTATCAGACTACTGAAACAATGGTCCCCAAGGAACTGGAATTGCTCCAGGAGTCTCATGATGGGAGACAGAAAAAGCAGAAGCCTGTTACTCCCAGAGGGGGACCTTCTAATCCCGGAATGGGTTTCTCAAGGTTCTGACACCTTACCAGTCCGGCATGTAAGAAACCCAGTTATGATGGATTCCTTGATGGGGACTGCTTCATTATACATATCTCTGGCCTTCTCTTTAAACAAAAACTTTTGTCAGGACCCCAAGGATGGACATGTTGGGGGATGTCACCAGACTTACTTATTTGTTCCTTTTCCTAAATGTGGCCACATTAAATAAATCTCCTCTCTTTCCTTTTTACCAATCCCTGTCTCTTTAAATTAGCCTAAGAGAGGTAGACAGGCCTGCTTTATCTTATTAAAGCTCCCTGGGAAGGCTTTGACCTAACAGCTCTGATGATTTCCTAGGATTGAGATATGCTTAAGACAGGCTTGCGGGGAAAGTTCACACGCTTTTTTTTTATAGAAATGACAGAAAACAATAGAAAGCAACACGATAACCACCAAATGACATCAAGAACCTTTGGTTGAGTAGCTTTCAGAAGCTACACAGCAATAAACTGCCCATGACTCCTTTGCTTCATAGACTTAGTTATCCAGCTGTAGAAGCTCAAAAATGCCCCAGTGCAGCCGAAAGGACCAGGAGTGAGGCAGGTTTGCTCTGTGAGCCATTACATTTACATGCCTGCATTGAGTAACTCCTCTAAAAAGAAGGTAGGGAGACCAGCCATTTCCATGCAGTTCCGTTCAAATTAAAGTCTAAGGTCCAAGCAGATTAGAGGAACTGGGACAGCAGGGGCATAGAGGAACCTGAGAAGGAGGCACCAAGGAGCAGAGACCTGCAACCAAACCAAACCAAGTCCAGTCCAGAAGGAACAGAGGTTCCTGGGCGAGTAGCTCTGCAGTCCTACACTGCATTGTGCAGTATTTCTAGAACATTCTTCCAGAGAAGCAATAACTTTTAAGAGCCAAGAATATATTATTGACAGTTGTCCCCAGAATGACTATTATCAGAAGTGCATAAAGAGACAACTAATTAGGAGATTGGTTTAAAGTCCTCATCCTTTTGGAGGGGAGGGGCAGGGTGTCATGTATGTCAGGCTAGCCTCAATGCAGGCAAGGACACTGCTCAGCTTCTGATGCTCATGGCTTCACCTCCGGCACGCTAGGATTATAGGTGCACACTAGCTTATGTGGGGCTAGGGATCAAACCAGGGCCTGTGTATGCCAGGCAAGCATTCCATCAGCTGAGTTACATCCCAGCTACAGTTCTCTTCCAAGCATTTTAAAAGACAGGCACCATGGTAACAATCTGATACGATGCCATTTGCAGAGGTGTTCTTCCTAGCAAAGGTCACTGGTCATTGGCTTATTTCATTATCTGAGAAACTGAGGTAGAGGCTGCTACAAACTGTGTTATATCAATGCAAGGATACCCCTGCTGTTATATTTATTTATTGTGTTAAGGCTTTTGAAAACTTACCGTCCTGAAGAAACTGGCTTGAATGAACCAGCATTTTCAAATATTTGAGCCTTTGCTGCCACTCTGAAAAATGTTTTTAAAAGCACTGATTAATTTTAAAAGCAACACTTAAAGAGTCAGGATACTTCAATATTTTTAAATGAAGTCAATCGGGAAAGCCATCAGGTCCAATGGGATATCCAGGGTTATTGTGCAAATAAAGAAAGCCAGTCGGGGACTGTCCCCCAAACTGGAGCCGCAGTGGGGCTGCCGTTTTTGCTTTAATGTGACAGTTTTAGCGGCAGCCTGCCTGCAGCTCAAGCGAGACTACACTAGACCTTAGCTCCCTTCCTGCAGCTCTCACTGTCCTCTTCCTTTTACCTCAAACAGAGGTCACCTCAGAGAGAACAGTCTCTCGCCACCAGGCTCCCAGCAGGAAGCACATTACTGGCTCAATCAACACGATGGAGGAGGAGCTGATGCTGTCCTGAAAGCTCAGGGAGCTGAGATGATCGCTTCCTGTGTTTCCTATGGTGGACACTGTTGCTATAAGGCAAAGAGGAAAACCCCCGAGGATGTGTCATCTAAATGAACCTGCCAGTCTGCACCTTGCTTCTTCAGCCACAGAGTGTGTGTGCTGGGGGTGGGGGTGGGGGTGGGGCAATGTGAAACTGTTGGCTGCAGAATGGGGGCTACCCCAGTTAAAGAGTCCTTGGCAACCACAGTATTTCTTAAATTCTCCAAAAAAAAAAAAACTAAATTCCACCAATGAGCTCCTCTAGACTTGGTTTTAAAAATAGCGTGCTTTTTACATCATTATAGTTGAGCAATTAAATTAATATTTAATTTATCTTTTGTGTGCATGGGGAAGTCACAGGACAGCTTCCGTGAGCTGGTTCTCGCCTTCCGCCACGTGGGTCCGGGTCTGGAATGGAACTCAGGTCCTCGGGCTTGGTGGCAATCACCACATCATTAGCCCCAACCTTTAGAACTCTTCACAGAGCCCCAACAGACAATCGCGAGGACCCTGCCTTCCCTTCCCCCCCAAAAAAAACCAACAACCAGAAGGCAGAAGGTCTTCTGTCCTGTAAAGGACAGAGGGATAATCTCTCAACTCCTCTGACCGTCCATCTAAACTTTAGTTTCCTTTAATGCCTTTGGCTGAACAGCAAGCAGACCAACTGGCAAACAGATTCATCTAGCTGGACTTCTGTAAGGAATGCTGGGCACACTGTGCAACTAAAGGTGTAGAAAGACCGTAATGGGCAGAAGGATCTGCAATCCCATTCCTGAGGAGTTGGGCTTAGGAAGTAAGTAAAATACCTTACTGAACTTTCAACACAGGAAAATGTCAGGAACACCCTTAGATGACAGATGGGTGTGGCACAGAGAACCAGGAGGTCAGGGGACCCAGGGCTCTAAAATGTTCTAGACATGTGTTTTGGTCTCTCAAGAGGGGTTTGCTCATACCGCAGGTGAGACCCTTAGAAGAGTCCACACATGTGAAGATATCTAGTGAGAGCTCACACACACTGGGAAACGTTCAGCAACTGCCAGGGGCAGGAGAGAGAGCAGGGGAAGAGGAGCTTCCTGCCTGGGCTTTGATCCCTTGTTCCTCCAGGCTCCTTGCATCCCTCTGCACCCTTTTCTGCTCCCAGTTACACAGTGGCGTCCTATGAGCTTTCTGCTTCTGCTCATTGTTTTGATGAGAAGTACTCTCTTCCCATTGCCTTTTGCCATCCTGGCTGTCTCTAACCTTGTCCCCATCAGAGAAGCACAAGGCGGAGGGGACAGAAAGCCCTCACATGTAGGGGCAGCCATATTGGGAGAGCTGGATGGTTGCTTTAATGGGAAGGTCCCTAGCTCCAAAGGCCATAACCACACTATGATGCTTCTATTTTCCCATCCTACATTAAGTCACGGCTAAGCGGTAACCCAGGGGCTGATAATAGCCTGAGCCTACAGTAACTCTCACATTCTTTATTGAAATGGACCCAGTTCTACAGAAGCTAAAGGGGGAGCCATTTAATTACAGGACCTTCAAATTCTTTTAGGACAGATTCAATCCCTCCATATCGTTAGGAGACAGTGAATACCAACTCATTCCTACTCACACTGAGCCTGGCCGCTGGTAGCCATTGCTGGAGGCGGTGTCGAGCCTTAACCTCCTGCACATTTTTGGAGGCAGCTCTGGGTTCGGTGTGGCTTTGGGCGACTCTTTGGAGCCTATGGAACTTAAGCTTTGGACAGATCCGCTGTGGCTCTTGTTTCCTAGAGAGAACATGCAAGGTGCTATTAGTCAAAATAACTCACAGTACCATGTATACCAAAGGCAGCATTTTCCTCCAGGAGATGGGAAGAAGACAGAGAATGTTCTTTGGGAACAGCGACCCATCACTCAGGGAGATCAAATTCGACAGCAATTACAAAACATCACCCACAAAGACAGAGAGATTCAGGGGGATAATGTCACAGCACACAGAAGTTTTGAACCCGAGCTCAAGTACAAAGTAGACAAACTTCACTGGTTTCCCCCATTAACCTTGTCCCCATCAGTCACCCCGAGTGACCAGCCAGCAACACTGGGGAATGCTGGCAGGATGGGCTGCAGGCCTCCTCACCTTCAGCCACAGAGATGGATCTGAGAGAGGAGGAGGCAGAGGTTCTTTTCAGTCCTGAGGGCCCATAGGGCCCTTTCTTGACTAGGTCTATGGGGGGAGAGGCATCCCCCGGGCTGGTAACCGAGGCCACGCTCTGGCAATCTGACTCCACATCTGTCTTGGTTGCATCTTCTCGAGAACTGGACTCTGGGCTCGTTGTCCACAGACCGAGGCTCTTCTGCCCGTTGGAAGACGATGGGGATGCCATCCAGGGAATACCGCCCGACTTCTCCCTGGGCTGGCAAGAGGTCGACTTTGTGGTGCTGTTTTGTTCAGAGGAGTGGGAAGAGAGCGACTCTATGCTGCCCATGGGTGTGCTGTCTGGGCTGCTGCTGTAGGAGTCACCTGAGAAGAGACAGACGAGGGAGACAGTGGTTACGGTCGGTAACATGAAACGGCACAGCCCTGCTGCTCTCAATCCGCCATGCCTTCCACAGAGTCATGGGCCTTGACCTGCCAGGGCCGACTATCCTCAGTACTGGAGGAAGGTGTTAAAGCTTGCCTTCGGTGACGGGGAATTCGATTCACACATTCTACAGGATGATTTTTTTACACAGCCCTGCGAACTATGCACTCTTACAGAGTATTCATGGACTAACTTGAAGTTGGACAAAAATTGCCTGTGACACAGAACTCAGAAGTAAGAGAAATAGGCTCCCTTCATGAATATCTATGTATGTATGTATGCATGTATGTATGTATGTATATATAAGGAGGAGACATACTTCTATTAGAGATGTGTTCTTGCCATCCTTTATTTTTCGGATCTCAGGGGGCTCTGAGTCACTGTACCAGGTCTGCTCAAAGGCACAAGTTGCTGGCAGCTCTGGGAAGAAGGCTTTTATTTGTTTGTTTTGTTTCATTTTCCTACTATGACTGTCGTAACACAAGAAACTGGCTGTTGGACTGGGGTGTAACTCAAGGGGAGAGCGTGTTTCTGACCTGCACGACAACCTGAAATCTCACTAGAGCTTGAAAACACACCTAAGACAAATTTTACTAGGCCATTTTCTATTAAATATGGACCGTGGGGAAGCACTGGGAGCCCGGTGGAAAAAGGTAAAAGGAGAACAGCCACAGCCTAACGTTTGTCGTGGGCTCACGCTGTGATCAACCCCAGCTAGAAGCCTGCTCAGAATAAGGAGCTTGTGGTTTCACGTGTGCTGTCGGTTTCCTTATTTCCTTCCTTTCTTTGGGACGCTCTGACATTCAAGGGCTGATTCTTCAACAGCATAATGCGAAACAAAAGCCAGAAAATGGCTTTTCAATGAGACACCCTCCAGCTCTCTTGCCGGTCACTCTGACAACAGGACAAAATCTGCCACAAGTAGCACCCGGTGTCCTTAACCACAGTCCCAGGAAAAGGGCAAGGAGCAAACTACTTCTTCCTTTGTGGCAACATGAATATGCTTGTCTAAGGAGCCTTCCCACAAGGCCGGCAGGGACTATAAGATGGGTGTTGGGGAAAGAGCGCCCACAAACACATCTGCTAATTCCTAATGACCAAAGAAGTGAGGGGTCAGATTAAACAGAACAAGAGAGGCTCTCCTACAATGGGGCAAACTTACTGTCAGGCTCCGCCAGGCATGGCGTGTACCTCCCTCTGGGCTTCCGAGAGCCTGTGGACAGGCAGATGGCACGGGTCCTTCGGGATCCAGACCGAGACTGAGGCTGAGGAAGAGGAATGTTTGGGTCTGGGGCGGTATGAAAAATCTACAGGAAGAGAGATGGACTGGGGTCAGTAAAGAGTGAAAGCCTCTTGTGCGTCCACATGATAGAAGGTTCAATGGCTATGAGAAGAATCCCTAGGCGTGCAGGAGACGCTACCTGAGCTAATCGCTGCATTCTTTTGCATCTACTGAATAAACCCTCTTCTCTGGATTTTCATCTTTGCTGTTCCCCAAAGTGAAAGTGAAGTCTGGTGACTTTAAGAAACCTGTCAACTGTGAGCAAATGTCTCTACCCAGAAACTCTGTTTCTTCATACAGCAGTGTTCCTTTCCGCTTTCATCTCAGGGAAGCCCAACCCACGGGGAAGCTTGGTTCTATGTGACTTCCAGGAGAGCAGCTCCTTGCAATTCTGGGGCAGGTTCTTGGATGCTGAGGGCACTGGGCTGTCACGGAGATGGGGATAGCCGTAGGAAGTGGAATTAGCACAGCCTTCAGATGCTACTACATATGAAGGGACTGTGAGCTTGCAATCTTATGCAGTGACTGAGGACATCATTGTGTGGTCACTAGGAAAGGACTTTAGGGAGAAATATGGGGTCACTTTCTCAGAAGTACCAGATCAGGCATAGTGGGCTAACTTGGCTTCCACAACATCCCATAGTTACTCCAATAACTTAAGCTTTTAAGGAAGACCTTTTATAGGAGGACCTCACAATTCAAGACTCTACTTTCTACCTATCACTGACCTGCATTTTGAGACAGACTCTTGCATGTAGCCCAAATTCAAGACCTTGATTCTGATTCTCAAGGGCTGGGATTGTCAAGTGTGTATTACCACATCTGACCTTGTTTCTTTTCTGTTATTTGGAATACCGGAATTACTACACAAATAAGAGTCCAATTCCAGAGGGCTAAAGAGAAAAGGCTAAGTCACATTTAAACACAAGCAATGCAGAAGTGCCTTTTGAATTCAAGCAGAAAGCTGAGTAGCAGCCAGGAAAGAAGGAAACTTCAGAAATTCAGGGTTGGAGAAGAGTCAGGCTACTCATTGGACTTGAAACACTGAATACATAGGTGACAACAAGAATCCAAGAAGCCTTTTATGAAGCTGACAAGATGGGCATTTTACAGGAACCTCAGATCACAAAGTAAAGCTCATAGACAACACAAGGAAGTTGGTGGTGTGTGGACCTCAGCCACCTTTTCATAGTGCTCGATCAGGATTTCAACCACTATGTTCTGAAACTTGATGTTCATCATGGCGGCCACAGTTTCCTCCTGCGCTCTCATCAGGGTTGGGCCAAATATGACGCCGAGATTTGAGATTGTCATGAGATTCTGTTGGCTGTGCAATGACACTCTGAAAATGAAGAACATAAACTCTTAGTGCAAATTCTCAACATTAGGAATGTTCTTTTCTATCAAACTTGATGTGTAAAAAAATTACAAGCTATATATGCCACTAGAGGCCAGGTCCCCTGCTTGCCATTGCATATTCCTGATGGGTGTGAATAAAAACTGCATCAAAAAGGAAGAAAATTGTTCAGAAGATAAACAATAAATTATTGTATAGTACTGGTCACACTATTGTGTGGTAGAACTAAACCTATCTTCCCTCTTCTAATGTACGTTGGCACCTCTTCTCCCTAGGCTCAAAGCAGAGGGAAATGCTTAAGGGGATGGAAATAATTACCTTCATTTAATTATTATATATTATGTATAAATACATATCGAATCATCATGAGACACAATGTGCTATTTCTATCAATGTCAACTGAAGATTTAATAGGCGAGTGGCAAGATGGCTCAGAGGGCAACAAGTGTCCGTTAGGCAAACTTGATGATCTGAGTTTAATCCCTGGACCCCAAGGTGGATGCAGACAGTGGGTTCCTGGAAGTTGTCCTCTGACCTGACAGGTGCATTGAAGCATGCCCACACTATCCCCCTAACAGTGAAAATGCGTATTTTGAACACTTAAATAAAGAACGTAAGATGCTAACCCTGGGAAAATAAAACTAATAACTATAAAGGCTAAACTACTTAGGGAAATGATTCTTAGTTTTTTGTTTATTTGTTTGTTTTTCATGAATTATATGCAATGTCCATAGACAAACATTTAAATGTTTGGTATTTCTGTATTGTACTTCTTGTAGAACAGACTATTAAAGAGTAGGTGAGTGGACACTATATTCGGAGTCAAAGAAATTATTTTGGACCAGTTCTTAATCAGCTTCATACACAATTCCATGTTACTTGGAAATTCTGTTGCCTGAATGCAGAAGAATCCCTGCCTGATGGTACAAAACCCATTATCCCAGACGCTTAGGGAGCCAAAGCAAGCAAATGTGAGGGTTATACTTCACCACTGAATTCCACCGGCTCTGTATACTGAACTTTACACTACAGTAAGTCAGTCATGCCTATTACACAATCAAGAAGTCATCTATCTACCTATTTTCTTTCCGTTTCTTTCTATCTATCTATCATCTGTTAACCATCTATCACCTATTAATCATCTATCTATCATCTACTCAGCCATCGAACCACATACCTACTTACCTAATTCCTGTTGATCTATATTAAATTTAAAATACATGTGTGAACTAACACCAAAGTCAGAAGAAAATCTTTGAGAAAAAATGTGAGCCCCAAGGGGTAACCTGCACTGTCAGTGTGTATTGAGGAAACTCATTGGCCTTAGTAGTTTCCAGACTCACCACTGTAAAGAACTGAAAATATTATAAAACTTCATACATTCTAAGTTGACATAAATCATTTTATCACTAGTTTAACAGTCATAGAGGATACAATTTTCTGTATATTGGAAATATATGACACATAGACAACCATGTATCTTAAAAACAAACTACACACTGTTTTCTAATGTCACACAAGGCTTACAAGAGCAACCACGTAACACCATCGTGTACTTTAAAATGACATGAATGAGCTTATCTTAGCAAGACTTTCAAGTCATTAAATGAGCAACATGAGCCACACAATTACTTGAGCAGGTGTTTTATCAAGATGTCCAGCATCTCTCTGTTTTTCTCCGGCAATTTGTGCACCAGTGCATGGACGGCCTCCACCCTGTAGTTTTGGTCATCTGACTCTGTTATGTAAAAAGGGTTACAGATGTGATTGCATTCAAACCTGTAATGTAAGCACTTGTCAATGTGAACATCATACACATTTCTACCATTCATGCCTACAAGTGTTGTCAATGTGAACATCATACACATTTCTACCATTCATGCCTACAAGTGTTGTCAATGTGAACATCATACACATTTCTACCATTCATGCCTACAAGTGTTGTCAATGTGAACATCATACACATTTCTACCATTCATGCCTACAAGTGTTGCTTCACATGCTGTCATTAACCACGCCTTTTAGGTTAAGAAATGTTGAGTGAGCTTGTTGTCCATGGCTGTAAAGTCAGGAAGCAGCCAAACCAAATGCGTAATTTTTCAGCTTGTTCCTCATCAACAAACCATATCACTCTGACCTAGAGTCACCGACTGCTTGGGGTTGAGCAACCAGAGATAAGGTAAGACCTTCAGGGCTGTGATGCGCATGTGCAGAGACAAGGTAAGACCTTCAGGGCTGTGATGCGCATGTGCAGAGACAAGAGAAGCCCTTCGGGGCTGTGATGCGCATGTGCGTACACACATGTGTATATACACGGCAAATGTGGCTTGTAGATATTGGTGTAGACGCCTATCAGTGCAATTCACATTCCTCCATAGAAACATGCTGGAGATCTAACCCTGTGTGACCAGAGGAAACCAGCATTCCTCTTCTCGGTTCACAAAGGAGAACTTCAGCGTGGCCTTCCTGAAGTGCTGGCATTATGTAAACAGAAGACACTGAACTCGCTGTGACATTGGGAAATCTGAAATTTCAGACATCACCTCAGCAAATCCAGTCATGCTAGACTAAAGCTCGGGTGCAGCCTGCCCATAACATTTCAGAAGGAGCTGACATTCCCCATTGTCAGTGACAAGTCTGGGCACAAGGCCTTTGCAAACTCTTTACATTACACCATCTGTGTGGAGACACAGGCAAGAAGCCAGCTCTGGGATATTCTGAGGACAAAGCGGGTGGGATGGAGATTTCAAGGCTCTGATCTACCTGCTATATATGTGAAAATAAGATTTAGAACAAGGGCCAGGGTGAGCAGGAAAGGGGCCACAAGTTCAAGGCCAGGATAGACTACCACATTAGTTTGCTACAGTGTGAGACTCTGTCTCAAAAAAAAGCAAAACACCCATTTATCACCCCAGGCACCTCACCCAACAACCAAAGAAAGAGAAAAATATGAAGAGGAAAAATATCATTTTGCAGCTTCACAGTCCCTTGCTGCAGTGCAATCCCCTCCTCCAGTGAATCCTCCTAGGGTTCCAGTAACATTTCACATTTTCACTGAAATTCCTCAAAAGAAACTTGAAACTGATTGTCTAAATTCATTCAACAAGCCAACTCAACACTGAGTAAATCCTTGCCTGAGACAATGCTCAATAATGGTTTCCAAAGATGGAAATAAAGGAAACCTGCCACCAAGGGCTTGTATCATCACAGTTTTAGACATAGGCTCAAATGCCACTTGACACAAAGACAAATCTCTGGAGGTTTGTTGAACAACAACAAGCCATCTAGCTCATAGTCCTGGCTCTTGATGTACACTAATGCCTTGGACAAGTCATTTACCTACTCTAGGTCCTGACTGGCTCATCAACAAAATAAGACAATATTCTCTGAGTCTTATTCATTTTGCAAACATGTGGTCATATGAATACTATGCTATGAATGGATAGCATTTAGGATAAAACTTAGAAAGGCGTGATGTTACTATGTGGTCAGCCATGACTGCTGAATTAAAACCAAGTTACCCATGTTACCTGATGCTGTCATTGGAAGACAACACTTCTGGGGCATTTCAACCTCTGGAAGTATATGAAAGCAACTGGTTTTGTTTGTTTGTTTGTTTTTCTTGGACTGTGAAGAACGAATAATACTCTCCGATGAAAGTCACACCTCATACACTTCCAACAATGAAATGCTGAATCATTGTTACATGTGTAGGTCACTATAATTTACATTATGTTGATGCTGCCGAGCTGACACTCTGCTTACAACAGTTGTAAAGTATGTATTACTAACTTCTCAGGCCACATTCTTACAGTATTCCAGCCCTCTACACCTGAATTTCAAATTAAATCCACTAATATAACATTGAGGCAGCCAACAACACAAATGAAAGACACGAGTCTGTGATTATAACACGTAACTTCAGGGGGAAGGGAATTAGCAGAACAATTTCTACTGACTCATGATATTTGACCTTTTTTTGGGGGGGTTAGAAATATAGCATGTAAGTGTGAATACTGACATAACTTGCTGCATACAATTGTAATTATGTTTATCATACAGTTGCTGTCATGGGACTGGAAAGATGATTCAGCGGTTCAGGGCACTTACTGTTCTTACAGAGGACCTGGGTTCAGTTCCCAGCATCCATATAAGAAAGCTCCCAACTACCCTCCAGACTTCAAAGGCATGCACATGATACACATAAATTCATAAAGGCATAACCCCATAAGTAAGTTTTCTGTCACAAGAAACTTGTTTAGTTGCTCAAATAAGAAGTTAGGATTCCTCACAACTTTTTCTAATTACATCAGGCTGCTACCTCAATAACAATGGGTTTGGGGAGGACTAGAGATGGCGGTCACAGTTTGCCTTATTAAAAGACAAAATATTTAGTGTACTGTGCAATTTTTGTTGAGTTGCAAACCACAGTGCAAGCTATTAAATATCATATTGGCAATATTTTTAGGCAGCAAGTGAAAGAAGGCCTTGGAGATTCAAACTCGCATATGTAAGCTGAAACAGCATCAGCCCCACGCCTTAGGTGCAAGCATACTCACTGACAGCAATGATGAAATCCTTGTGCAATTTGTAAGTCATCAGTGGTTCTGCAAGGCACCTAAGACAGAGAAACAGAGAGCATCTAGAGCTACAGAAACTTTTGTCTCCCTACATCCCCAGGTCTTCATTAACTATTCCATGGCTGTTTTCTGCCAATTAAAGGTGAAGCAATGACTAACCAAACAGTTGGCTGGTTAGGTAGTATGACAAGGTCCTGGCAGCGGGAAGCAGACAGTGTTAAAACGCAGACTGCAGCCATCTAATGGCCCGGAGCACGCCGGTCACCATGTGTGCACAGGGATGGTACATTGAGGATGAAGCAATACTTCAGAATACTCCTTTACACTGTGTGAAGATGTGTCTCTGTGAGTGGTTTAATGAAGCCGAATGGCCAATAGCGAGGTGGGAGAAGACAGATGGGATTTCCCAGGAGAGAGTGAGAGAAACCTAAGAAGCAAGGAAGGGATTTCTCCAGCAGACTTGGAAAAAGTCAGACATACAGAAATGGAGAAGAGGTTAAAAAAATAAAAGCCACATTGTAGAATGTAGATTAATATAAGCAGATTAATTTAAGTCATAAAAGCTAGTTTAGAACAAGTCTAAGTTAAGGTTAAAGCTTTCATAATTGATAAGGAATCTCTGTCATAATTTATGGGCTGGTGAAATTCTGACTGGAAAGTTTGTTACAAATGGCACTCCATGTTGGGCTACAGCTGAAGGGTTTACCTAATTAATCTTTATCAATAAAAACTCGGGAGTCCAATATCTGGGTAAGAACTTGATTGATTAGAGAAACAATGAGAAGCAACCAGTGACTTCCTTTCTCCTCCCTTGATCCAAAAGGGCAGAGAGAGAGATTCTTTCTAACCCTCACTCTACTCCTTCCTGTGTCTCTCTAAAACCCTATGACTAATTTTGGTGAGCTACTAGTTAGTTTCATCCTCTGATTGACAGTTTCAGGGGGGTAAGAGTGCAATCAAAATGTCCCACAATAGTAGAGCGCTTGTGTAGCATGTACAGCACCTTGAATGTGTCCCTAGTGCTACACAACCCAGCTAAGGTGGTGTACTCATGCAATCCCAGCACCCATGAAGTATAGACAGGCAGACAAGAAGTTCATGGCCATTCTCAACCAAGTAGTGAGCTGAAGGACAGGCAAGGCTATATGAAACTCTGCTGTTTCAAAAACAAAAACAAAACAAAAAAAACTCACTTCAATATATTTAAAAAACATACACAAAGCACCACATATATAAGGAAACAAAAAGACTAACTCTGGAGTCACAAAATATTGCAGCTTTTAAAGTTACTGTTGGAAAAAGCATGTGGGAGTTCCAGAATGAGCAGATGTCAGCAGTGTTGTGTCCCTTTAGGTGAAGGCTGAGACCTGAGGAGTGAAGGCCATGTGCAAGGATTCCATGCAACCGATGGTTTCTTCCCAAGAAAAGGAGAGCAGTCGCGGCCAGAAACCCGGTTCTAATCCCTCCTCACCTGAGGTAGTTTTTCAGCCCACTCGTTATAGTCTTATTGTCCCACAGCTCAATATCAATGTCCATATCAGGAGGGGATTTGGGAGCTGGAAAGAATAAAATTCGCAATGTTTAAACTACAATTCAAAATATTACCTGTGCCGTGATGAGAATGTGTACCACCTCGAGTTGGGTCAAAAGGAAGGCATTTGCATCTTAGAGCTCTATCAGAGCTCACTATAGGCAGGTGGCCTTTGTGATCTGGCTGGAAGCTCACTCTGTTTCTTGCCCTCAAAGGTGCCATGAAGCATTGCTATTCTCAAATCAATTTCTTCTAAAGGCTGACAGGACAGGGGCATGCTGCTAAGTGCTGGGCGTGGGCCATCATTAACTTGGTCCTTACATACCTGAAGAAGCAGGCAGTATTTATTGCCCTCATTTAAAAAGGAGCAAGCAGAGACACAGAGAAGGTAAGCAATTTCCAAGATGACAGACAGCTTTGAGGTAGTGGAGTTGGGGTTCCAAGGCAGGAAATGCTGCAGAACCGTCCAACTTCACAGTAATGCCACCTCCTCTGTTACAGTCAACACTGAAAACTGAATAAAGGGACTAATGGCTTAGCAGAGCGGGAAAATGTGGGTTCTCATGCCCAAGGTTTCGGCAGCACTCCCACATCCCCCCAAATCTTACAGAATTTAACTTTCAACACGATATAAGAATTAACAAAGGTAACGAACTGTCTATGTCTCAGAGAAACCTGTTTGTTGGATCACCTGTACAGATATCCCAAATCAATGGCACCCTTGTTTCATCTAAAACTTACAAAATGTGGTGTTCATCAGTTTCTGGACCTTGGAGTTCACACCTCCTATTCGGTACAGGCCTAAAATGGTGATGCCTGAGGGAAGAAGATCACAAGTGAGTATGACTTAAGGAACTTCTCAAGCACAGCATCTAAAAACCCCAGGCACATGCCCTCGAAGAATCTGACAGCTACTTATCCAAATTTGCTGAGAATTGTAGCCATGTCAAACCTGGGAATACCCCTCACCCTCGCACCACAGATTTCTCAGAGCAGGCCCTGAACATCTACTTAAAAGTCTTTTGAGATCTTCTCAGAGCTAAAGTCAATCTGCCTAATCACAACTCTGAATACAAAAATGCATCCAAGACAGAAGACCAGCATTTCTATTCCCAGTCAGACAGTCCTCTGCATTCAATGGTCCTACGCCATTTACATCTTTATTTCAAAGGCTGGGGAGCAGATTGAGAGACACCAAGGATTCTGGTTCACTCCTTGAAACTCGCAAATGCAGGGAAATTCTGAATGCAAGTTGAAAGAACTCGAAGCAGAACAGCATTTTTGCTTTAGCAGGAGTCGCAGAAAGTGAAAGTCTGCCAAGAATGGAACAGCCATTCAGATCGCAAAGGAAAAGAACATGAGGCCAATAGACGATGAGTAAAACCTTCCTAAGATCTTACGTCCAGTGTCTGAAAACCTGAAAGAGCTTGAAATGATAAACAGTAGTTTGCTCTTCAGCAAGAAGTGTAAGCGTAACGTATCTGAACGATCTATGAAAGAAATAGTTACAGTGGTTGAGAGCACTAGCTGCTCTTGCAGGGGCCAGGTTCGGTTCCCAGCACCCACAGAATGGCTCACAACCATCTGTAACTTCAGGGACTCTGATGTCCTCTTCTTGCCTCTTCAGGCACCAAGCACACGCACAGTCCGTACATGCAGGAACTCACATAAACACAGAAAATAAAATAAATAAATCTTTAAAAATAAAGAGTATAATCAGTTGAGATTATGGCTAGCTATATACTCACACAGTTTAAATTTATATCATTCTCAAATTTATTATTGTGTTCATGCCCAAAGCGCACTTTCCTTCCCAGGGAGAGGTTGGAGTTGGAGGAGTAAGACATGTGCGAGAGGTCACACACCCTTCTGCACACCCACCTCTTGATTCCACAGCTTGGATGCATTTTCTCACGAAGTTGAAGCCCGCTTCATTTAAGTACACTGCAAGCGAGAGACAGCCCATTAAGATCTGATGTGGGACCTGCCTTCCCCCTTCAGCTGGCTCTGCTCTGTGTCTTCAAGGACTTTACCCCTGGTTTATCAAATACCTTAGTACACCCACGGTCACTTCTTCAGGCTGCATGCTAGGAAGCACAGAACACTCTACGCTGTGTTGAGAGCCTCTGTTTTTCCTACAGGCAGCACCCCCACATCTGGGTAAATTCTTACGGTGAGTGGAAAGTGATAGTAAGACCTTTCATGTCGTCATTCTTCCCCGCGTGGCCATGACCACACCCTGAGTCTCTTAACATAGGGCACCAGAGCTGAAAACCCTGCTTCTCCTTACTGTGATGTCTGGTGCTCTGTTTTTAACTTAGTTGTCTGGATTCCAAGCCCAGTGTCCCTTTAAGTACATGCTGTACACTCAGAATAACCCAGACATGCTCTGTCCATGTGTCAGCAGCTCCCCTGTCCCCGGAGCTGGAGTAGAAATTAGTAAACGATTTTCATTCTCTGCTAGACTTTTTAAATCACCCTCGGTGCTGGTGAGATGCTTCAGTGTGTAAAGGCACTTGCTGCTGAACACTGTGACCTGAGTTTGATCCCTGAGACCCACAAGGACGAAGCAGAGTATCACACTGCAAGCTGTCCTCTGACTTCCCCACAAGGGCTATGGCACACATGCCCACCAACATACAGCCTCCTGCCCACTCACTCACCCACCCGATCAAAGGCTTAGTAAGTACATTTGCTTTAGCCTTTTAAGCTGTGGAGTTAAAACCAAATTAGATTAATTACATAAAGGAAGGCATTTTAAAAGGGCAAGTAACCACCCAGAGGAAACATTTGAGAAGTCTTTATATTATAATAAGTCTCATCATGTGGTAGGTATGCAAGTTTTCAGTATGCCAAAATACTAACAAATGAGAATAATTCGAACCAATAAAATTAAAACCTTCTTCCAATTCTAAAATGGCGGTTAATTTTAAAAGTTGGGTGCTTGAGTACATTGTTCAGCTTGTCAATAAAACTGGGCGGAAGAAAGAAAACATCTTCAAGTGTTTTCAATGAGACTGTCCTCTAATACACAGAACGAAGAGCATAGTGTCGGGTAAAAGAGAATTGCTTTTCCATATTCATTTTGAGTAAAATAAGCAATAGACAGGCTGTCTCTCAAAGGCAGACTGTTATAGTTGAAAACAATGCCCTGGTCTAGTCTAATACACTGAGAGCAGGTGCCTTGTGTAGAACAAAGTCTACAAGGTCAATCTCAGGCTCCTGAACTATGCCAAGGATCCTGCATTAGCTTTCTCCCCATGGGTTAATGCACGACTATTTATCAGTTCAGGGTGTGGAGAAAACAACCAGGAATTTGTTCATCGCTTTTGACTCTGGACGCTTTGCCTCTAAGAGCTGGTTTCATGGAGCTAAGATGATACCCAGCATTGACTGGAGTCGGGCAAACGCATAGGCTTTTCCGAGCTCTGGAATAACACGCTATGACCTGGAACATACCCACTGATTTCTGTGAATGAGACCCTTCACCTATAAAATGTGAGAAGAGGCACTCAGTAGCCACACCGTCCATCCTAGCAGTAAAGAGGCTGGGGGTAGAGGTTGCAGATTTTAGGGCCAGCGTGGGCTACACAGTCAGACCATGCTAGAGCAGAAACCAGCAGCAACAACAAAACAAAACAGGGACGAGAGAGCCCAGGGGAAGGTAAACAAAGGAACAAGACACTGCCCACCTCTTAAGTCAGTGCTATGAACAGACAAGAGAAGACCAGATCAGTTAAACTGGTTTACTACCAGGTAAGGAAGGTGAGGTTTACTCTTCCACACAAAAGTAGGTTACTAGGAGCTAAGGAGAGAGATGACTAGTTGCAGTGTTTGCCATGTCAGCATAACAACTGGAGTTCAGATCCACAGAGGAAAAAATACTGGTTGGGCCTTGTGGCTCACCTGTAATTGCAACTTCAGAACACGGCTAAGCTGGCCAGTGAGACTGGCCACACTAGTGAGCTCTGGATTTGACCAAGAGACCCTGACTCAGTGTGCAAAAGCAATGGAGGATGATTCCAGACATCAACCTCAGGCTCTCATTGGCATAAAAGTGCACCAGCATTCACACACAAAAACATCTAGACAGTTGTCCATACACCACACATAGATGAAAAGAGAAAAAAGAAGAAAACGTTTGTTACTTGGCATGGCTTATCTCTCTGTTCCCTCTTTTACAAGCAAGTGTGGTCATCTCTTCCTTATAGGACTGCTAACGAGTGAGTTAAAGGAACATTTGGAAAGTTACACATGGGGTTTTAAATAGTGTGGGGTGTTGACTCTGAACTAACATCTGCTGTTGACTGTACTGCACTGTAAATCACTATGGATGCATGCAATGTGTGTGTGTATGTATGTATGCATGCATGCATGTGTGCTTCATGGATCAGACCCTCTTTATTCTTTAGGGATGTCTGAAGCAACTATTGCTTGAAGAAAGGTCAACCAGTTGTGCCACTTTTTAAAAAGGCATATCATATTGTTTAGTAATAAAAAACAATTTGGTGCCGGAGCAATGGTTTTTCTCTTTGAGCAGACACAGCTCAAGCATACAATGATGAAGCTCCATTAACTCAGGAGGCTACTGAAAAGATAAGTTGGACATTAAGAAATGTCCCTATGTGTTTGTTATACTTCAGTAAATCACAGTGATCCAATGCAATGTGTCACTGAGTTGAACAGACCTGGATACTGTGGCTGCTCTTTACATATATTGACTGCCCAGTTCTTCACGAAGGAAGACAGTATTTCTTATCATCTTGAAGACTGGTTATGGTCATGTGATCAATGCTATCCAATGAGATGAAATGGAAGCGATCCTATGTCACTTCCCCAAAGACCAAGATCTAGGCTTACCATTTCCTCTTGCCACTGGCACAAGGCCAGCATGATACAAAAGGAGGCTACCCTGTGAACTCGAGTTTCAGAGTAGAAGCATGCCACTGAGAACCTGTGTAGACATGCACTATGAACCAGCAGTATCCTTTGCTCCTGCAAGCCTCTGGGATCTGAGGGCCAGCTGTCAGCACACGGTGTCCTGTCCAGATCTTCTTTAATTACATGTAATTTAAGCAATTTCTGCTGTGGCAACACAGACTCAAGAAAATAAAGTCAACTGAACAAAATTAGTATCCATAAAGAGAAAAATAAGCCTCTTTAGAATCATCTCTTGTTCACAAATGTCTATTCAACAGTGCTTCCGCTAGAAGTTGACATGATGTAAAATACAGTGACATTGATGCTCATGGAGCATCAATTTTTAGGAAATTCATGTGATGGAAAATGAGCAATTTTCTAAAGTCATGAGAGGGTTATTATGTTGCTTTCATTGGTGCTATGAAAAACTCAACTGAAGTGGTGTTGTTTTAGTAGCTGAGAAAGATAACCCCTTGCTCTTTAATTTCAGAAGAGGCATCCTTGAGAAGGTCTATTAGTAAGTCAAATAACACCATTAAAAGGGTGTGCATGAGCCAGGGAGATGGCAAGGAGTAGAACCCTTGCCGTGCAAGTTTGAAGTCTGGACTCCCCAGAACCTACATGGGGTTAGACTTGGTAGCTTATAATCCTAGAATTCGACAGTAAGATGGGATCCACTGAAAGGAGATGCCCCAGAAGCCCAGGGGCTAGGTCACCTCGTGTGCTTGGCTGTGAACAGGAGGTCTTTTCTCTATCACAGCTGAAGGTGAACCAACACCAAGGCTGTGCTCTAACCTGCACACCATGCTGTGGCATGTGGGTCCCCATGCTTACATACACAGATACTGAGTGTTTCTCCTAACTCTCTTCCAGTGGAAGACAAAGTACTCTTGGTGTGGGGTAGAAAGAGAACTCGTCCCTACATGGTAGAAACACGGAGCTAAGACATGACTGTACCTAGCAGAAACATCTACTGAAATGGACACGTTTCACACATCCCAGGAATAAAGAAGGTGCATAATAGTGCAGAACAGACCACATAGGAAGGTGTGAACTACATAACCATGCTTTCAGAATTGCCGCTCCATCTAGATGCAGGGCCAAAGGGCCTGCCAGAAGGTGTCATCTGAGAAGACACAGGCTCAGGGAAGCACCAGAGAAAACCCGGGACACGTGAATTAACTTAATTAAAGGCCAAGATGGAGGTGCTGAGACAGGACAGGAATATCAAGAATGATAATTTTTTTCCTGAAAAATGAGCCCAGATGGCAAAATTATGAAGAACTACTAGTGAGGTTCTATCCCAATGGTCCTGTTTGAGGAATAGTATTATTCTCATTTTAACAGAACAGCATCATTTAGTACTGGTGACAGCTACGACCCTTAGCCTTAAAATTAATTAACTAACAGCATCTTATAATCTCAAGAAGAATATATTATGTCACATAACTGCAAAAATATTTACAGATTCAATATCCTGGTTCTTGGTGAGGTTTTTGTTGTTTGGCTTTTTGCATGGAGCTTTGTCTTAAGAATGATCAAACTTATGGAGTGGGGGTGAGGGGTTGGGAGGATTGGGGGTGGGGGAGGAGGGGAGGGAGACGGAACTGAGTAATGTGTAAAAAGCTAAATAAAAAAATATGGAAAAACAAAGAACGATCAACCTTTCCTGTTCTAATGAATCGCACGGCTTCACTCACAGCACAGAGAGCAACTCTTGAGTCATGCATGACTGCAGAGCAAGGGACTTCGCCCTGCTCAGGCTGTAGAAGGTCTCCCGGCTGGCTCCACAGCCTCACTTGCTGCTCAGTGGCATGTGCTCGGGATACTGCCACTACAGCCGTGTCACCCCAGCTCTCCATGCTTCTGTTTTCATGAGTCTCAGTGGAATTAAGCGTTAAGCGTATCCCCTCTGGCTGTGCGGGAGGGAACGGACCAAGCGAGGGGAAGATACTAGAAGGGTCAGTTTTTCATCAGGAAATACAGTTGGCTTTAATTGTGATTTACTCTGCAGGGCAAGTCAGAATGGAGGGAAGCTTATGTCTGATTAAGTTTCTGTTCCTTTAAAAGTCTTCGCTAAGTCAAAATCTAAGAGGTACTCGGGCAAAACTTTTAAAGGAAGATGAGGAAAGGGACTTACTTTCTTCTTTCTTGCTAATTATGGCAGGCAGTGTGTAAATCTAGAAAACAAAGGGTGTCAGTTAGTTACTGCAGTTAATGGTCCATACATGACATTGCCAAGGTGATGCAATCATTGAAACAAAAACCGTGGGCCTTGGCTCAAGGCTCAGCAACTGCTTCCAGGGTGCAGCCATCTGTCCAGTTGGTCCAGTCACCCCCTGCTATGGTTCCATCCTTGATGGTCCAGCTTGGGCTATGGTTCCATCCTTGATGGTCCAGCTTGGGCTAAGTTCTGCCCTTCGCCACCTGACTTGTGCATTTCACTCTCTTTCCTGACTCGTGCTCAAGGCACTTTCTTCTGGAAGTATCTCTCACAGTGAGCTTAATCTGGCTTTGCTCCATCCTCACAGGAGCTGAAGGGTTTTGTTTTCAAAGGTGGGCATGGTCTTGATCACATTGCACAGATAATAACCTATCCCTGCATCTGTTGTAGGTCGGGACTTCTTAACCATTCGTGAAAAGTTCAAAATTCTTAAAAATATCTACTGCTGATTGACGTTCTTGACCTTTCACGGATTGACTTTGTAAAATACAATACAGTAGAAATGGAAACTAATCAGCAGAGAACCTGATCTTTTCATTAAGCAATTTGATCGAAGTAAAATCCTATCCTTGTGTGCTTAGATGACCCTCTACAGTGTACTCCCAGTGCCTGGGCTCATCTGACGGTGGCCTGGAACAGGGTTTCAGGGAGGGTCGCAGAGAGCACTCTATGCTAAGCACCATTGCTCAGGCATTTAGCATGGACTGTTCTTGGGTTCTCTGCCACCAATGGAACCTTCTCTGGTGATGGGACAGAACCTCCCCTCCTGCTTATTCTATGTGCTCTCACTCTACAGACCCAGGAACAGTGTTCAGCAAGAAAGCCAACAACAGTTAATGACCTCTCTCTTTCCTGAATAAACATCCCTGGTGTTTGTGAGTAAATTACCACACAGACATCAAAATGGCTATTACAAACAGGATGTGCACCAAATGCAGAATGTCTCCCACCCACTGCCTTCTTAAGCTGTCATTTTTCAAAGTGGTCTGGACCAGAGGATGACTCCACACATATTCAAAATAGTAACCCAGTAAAATCATGCAAGAAATGTAGCCAAATTAATGATTATAAATATTTTAAAGTCATTTTAGGATGGTGCATTAGTCTTGGCAATCTCACGAGTAGGATTGCATGCCAGTGACTGAGCTGACCCCGGGAAAGCAGCATGGGCCATTGTCGTCTGATTTTGACTCTCACGTTCCCAGTTATATTATGTACACATATAAAGTGCATGCAGAGGTACTCTGAGAGTTTCAGAGGGAAACACAAATTAGAGATGATGCCAGTCTCTTACCGGTTCTTTTCCATCCATAGCCTCTAGCCAGAGTTTCCGGTTAGCTTCAGAGAAGGCCTGTAGTGTAATAATGCCATGCCTATTGACAGAGAGACACTCTGAATGTGAAACTCATTCCACCGAGCCCTTCACAACTTGTAAATTTTCACGTCCTTGGTTAGTTAGAAAGTTAGAATTTGGAAAAGAGAAAAGGTAAAAAAAGGTTAAAGGCAATGAAGAAAAGTAGAAATAGAAAACTAGAATTTTTTTTCTACAGGAATCTTTCAGAAAAGTCACTGTACACACTCACATATAACACTCACTCACACATACACTTACACACTCACATACATACACTGACACACACATACACGCGCACATACACATGTATACACACACAGACACACACAGATATACCATATACACATATATGCACAGAAACAGACATGTACACACTTATAAACACACACACAGAAACACATGAACAAACACATTCACACATACTTTTTAAATTTAAACGATGACAGGTATGTCAGAAGGTATAAGGCACAGGGATGTCTGAAGGAGTTAGTTCAAACAATTTCCCTGAAATGGTAAATAAAAAGATGTGCATCCACTGATTTCACAAGCTAAAGATTCAACAGTGAGGACCAGCTAGTCACTAACAATGCTCATGTACAAAGCCTTGGCTCAAACAATCCAATGATTAAATACTCAGTGTTTCTCTGCACCATGATACCTGCATTAAAATGAATTTCCTGAAAGTAATTCTCAAGTCAAGTGGGCAGGTGTACATCTGCACCTGGGAGGCTGAGGCCGGAGAATCACAAACCACAGTCAGCTTGGTTTACACAACCAGACTGACTACAGACCTGTCTCAATAAACAGCATCCCCAAACCTCTTCCATGCAGTCATGCTGAAATAGTTCTTAAGGGTGTATTTCCATATAAAAGGAGGCATGAGATAAGAGATGTGAGGGAAATGTGAAATTTTACAAATTATCTCATATAAAAGAACTGACGTAGTCAGTCTGGAAATTTGCAAGGATCTGGAAACACTGGGAAATCCTTTCATTGCTAATAAATTATTAAAATTTTGGAACAGCATAAGCTGACAACAAATTACTTTCACTTTTTCCATAGATAGGAAAATAGCTCATTAGAATGACGAGAAAGGAAAAGTGTGTATGAGGGCCCAGATAATCTGGCGTGATTGAATTTACTGTTTCTCAGCCTCTTGTTCTGGTATTACAGGTGCATGCTGTCCTGTCCAGCTTTGCTGTAGAGTTCTAAATCAATGCCAATGTGTCAGTAATGGAAATAGTAAGAACTATCAGTGTTTGCTGGGTGGTTATTTTTTTGGGCTAGGGTTGGTGTTCATAAGAACACTTTATTGTGTCATTTAACCCTCAGGAACACCTGGAGTTGTAGACTTATTTTCCTGTTTTGGAGATGGTATAACAAAAGCACAGAATTCATGTAACTATAACTAGGAAATGCGGAAATATAATAATGCTGTGCACACAGTAGGTCTCTAGAGGCACTGAACTTGGCCACTTGTGGAGTTTGTGGTATTCCCTCTGGAGTCTTCTTATTCCTTGGTAGCAGGACCATCAGGCTTCAAATGACGATTAAAAAAATGCTTGTCCCGAAGCCAGCAAATGATGCTGTGGGCTTTTCCCCCTTTGCGGGGGGGGGGGGTGCAGGCTGCTCCACACTCTTCTCTAACATGCCAATTATGTCAACTCTCCAGGTTCTTTGATGTGGCTTTTTCCCAGCGTAAGGCCTCACGTTTCTTATTTAAATGTCATACAATGGAAAGCTATTGGATAAATAGTGCAGAAGAGTGACATAAACACTATACTGCTTCATGTTTGTGTTGAACTTAGAAACAGACATTAAATAAAAACTGCAAAGAGGAAAGGACCGCTCAAACCTTTCGACCACTTCTATATCAAAGCAGAAGCGTTTGTCAATTGAATCTGTCTTTCTTCGGATACACGACTTTAGTTTAAACATTTCGGGTGAGCCGGTAAGGAGGCCATTCTGAAAAAACAAAGGTACATGGTTACTGACTCTAGGGAGTGAACTGAAGTGCAGGATCAGAAGTTGTCACCTGAAAGCATTAACCAGAAGAAAAGTCATTGCATAAAGGGTTAACTCCCTCTGCTGTTTAATCCTCCCCAGTCATTAACAACATATTTAATCTCACGTGTTTTATCTCAAAGAACTCAGTGACAGGACATGCTCTGACAGGAACAGACACTTACAGCGCACATGCTCTTAGGACACAGACTTAGATACCATACTACAGTGCCTGAACATCACAGTAGCACATGCAGTCTGTGTGCTAGAATGCTGCCCTATTTCTCCATCAAAATCTATCATAAAAGTGTAAACATAAAAATTCTCCCAGGTAGTAAGAGGTTAGTGCCATGGGTATGTATTTTTGTATGGGCGCCCACACAGGAGTCCCAAAAGAGCCTGCAGAATAATGAGGCTCACACTGGCTCTGCTGCTCATGCCAGTATCCCAGTGATGAAGCTCACATTGGCATCCGTGCCTCTCATGAGTTTCCTCCACATGGGAGATGCCTAGCTCCATCAGGGATAGCTCAATGTCTGATAACTCTGCTTGGCTGCAAACCTCACAGACATATTATCAGTGCTTTGATTGGTCCATTTGCAGCATTAACACCCCAGCTGGCACACAAGTTGAATTTCTGGCAGTCACTACTCAAGTGAGTCACAGCTAGATGTGACTTGGGACCTGGCAACTCTGCAGGTGATGGCATCCGCAGGCTTTTTCTCTGCTACGCTCCCATTTTTTGTGTGTCTGTCCTTCAGTTTGAATTATTAGGCTCTGGTGGATGCCTGAGCACAATAAGTTTCAGCTGACACATCCCAGTGTTTCTAGTTTCCATCATTTACCTGTGCCTCGCCCTACACTAAAAACTGCCTAGGTGACTCATTTACTTTCTAGAAAGAGCTTCCTCGTCTGTTAAAATAAGGTTGGAACAAATTATCTTTAGGATAAAATCCACCTCTGGACTTATATCTTAGGGCATGACCAAATTCACTAATTCACAAAATCAGTTATTGCCCATGTTGGTAAGTTAACCAAAAAAGAAAGATGGAGGTGGGGGTGGGGGTGGTGGGGGAGAGACAGAGGGAAGGAGGGAGGAATGGAGGGAGAAAGAAAGGAAGACAGATAGAGTGAGTTATATACTATATGCAATCAAGTCTGTACCATTTCATCAAGTACAGTGTATCTTGTCCTAGCCATGAGACACATTTAGCAAAAAATTTACTTTTGGGGTAAGTGAGCCTCGATGGGTTTACCTTGAGAAACTTTTTTTTTTTTTTTTTTGGTTTTACGAGACAAGGTTTCTCTGTATTGTTTTGGAGGCTGTCGGTCTAGCCTGGCCTCGAACTCACAGAGTCAGCCTGCCTCTGCCTCCCGAGTGCTGGGATTAAAGGCGTGCACCACCACCTCCTGGCTTGAGAAACTTTTTAGCTAGCATTTTGGTATGTGAATTCCTAGGCTGTTAGAGGCAAGGGCACACCCAAGGGCAGCTGTAGCATCACCAGCTGGGACAGGATGCAGAATTCCTGAGCTACGCTGGGCCCAGACACTGGCAGTTCCTTCCTTAGTAGCCAACCCATAACACAGAACCCTACTTCTGAAATGAGAGATGTAAGAGGGCACTTCAAACTTCTACTGAAGGATCCCTGTCTATTACCAACTGATTTATAAATACACAATAGCCCCAGCCAAAGAAAAACACTGTCCATTCATTTTATATCATTAAGGCCACTAAAATTTTTTAGTGAAAATTTCAATGACATTACTTGGGACAGGAAGCACAGGAAACACTTTATTTAACTCCCATTCCTTAAATTACAAGCTTAATTTGAAAAGGAGAAAGCTCACTCACCATCTTCCCACTGGCTTTCACTTCTGAGACACTCATTGTGAACATTTTGCTTCCTTTGTCGTAAGTGCAGTAATGTTTAATCCATGTGAAACCCAATGGTCCTAACATGGGAGACAAAAACCACATCAAACTCAGATACATGGTTCATTCCTAAGTGTGTGCACGGGCACACTCACACGGGGAGAATGTCCACACATCACCGTAGCTTCAGCGCTCACTGGGAGGAGGGCCAGTATGAGTAACTGAAGACGTGTCGTGGAATCAAACTAATGTCTTTACACAGATAATCTGGAAATCCATGAGCGAGCCCATGTGTAAACTTCAGCTGTCTTAATCTTGTCTATAAATATGGAATCTTGTAAGCAGATCACATCAACTGTGGACCAAAAATATTCAAAAAGCCAATCACACTGACGATGAACATTTGTAACTGTTTTTGGAGATAGGGTCTTGCTTTGAAGTTCAGACTGTTCACACACTTACCGTGTCTCCAAGGCCAGCCTTGAGCTCAAGATCCCCCTGTGTTAAGCTTCCACGGGCTGGGTGATCACACATACACACACATAGGCATGTGTCCCCATTCCCGGCAGCTGATGAGAATATGGTTAATACTTAGCATGGCCAGACATATACTGCCACCCAGCGAGCACTTGACAAATGAGCTAAGGTGGATGACCATCTACTTTACTGATCTTGGAATGACTTCCTCTTACGTTGCTATGGGAGAAATAAGCTGTTAGCGGTGGATGGCCTGCAGAGGGTAGGCAGTGGGGAGCACCAGACTTGGTACTCGAGGGCTCGAACAGCAGCACTTAAGAGGCAGAGGCAAGGTCACTGTTCAAGGTCACTGTTAGCTACATAGCAAGGCCAGGGCCACCGGGGCTACCTGATACCTTGTCTTTTTTTTTTTTTTAATCCAAATGTTCTTAAAATAATAAATCCCCTATTCATATTATTTACATTAAAGGAAATACGTCTATTAGTAATGCTCAGTTTTGCGCCCCAGAAGCGCTGTCCTTTCTCACAGCACAGCACATCACGTGATGGGTATAGTCCCTGAGAACTCGTCGCTCCTGCATCTGCAGTGGGGTGTATCCTTCCTGCCTCTCGATGACAAAGTACAAGACCCTGCATTTCCCCGGAGAAGCAGAGTGTCCTGATTCCAGATGCCGTGGGTGGGTTGGGAAGAGAGCTCAGAACCCCCTTCCTCGAAGTGCTCCACTCAACCAACACAGAGCTAGTTAGTCCTCATCCACCTCCCTGCAAAATGTGAGTGCTGGCTTGGTCTCAGAGCCCCACACTCCAAACCAAGCAGCTAAGACATAGAGCAGCAGCACCTCGAGACAGCGTTTCCTAAGGCACTGGATTTCTGTTTTGGTTCGCAGCAGTGCCCTTGTGTCAGCTTTAACTTCGGCTGATACACTGCTCCAGATCTTAAGATGACCATACACACACTCTCTGCAGTCCCAGGGGATTATAGCAATTAACTCCAGTCTGTTCCAGAACCTCTTCATATTGCAGCCCTTGACAGCGCTTGCTACTCAATGCCGTGCCGCGTAGAGTACGTAGCAGGTGCCAGCAGATGAGAGGGACATGGCTGATGCCAACTGGCTGTGGCTTTGTTACTTAGGCAGCGATGCATGAGGTAGGTTCAGCTGTTGCTCTAAAATGAACCTGCCACCGTGCTCTAAGGATATTTCAGACTGGAAATGTCTTTGTTTTCCCCTGCCCTGTCTCAAACTTGGAGCCTCCTTCACCCCGTGGCGACATCTGCGGTTCACCCTGCCCTCCCTTGTCCTTTAAAGCTTGCTTAATCTACCTGAAAGATTGAAACTTATCACGACTCCAAAGCTGCAAAACAAAAGATCATCTATCCTGCCCAGTGACCACAGAAAGCTGTGACAGATATTGTCATATTTGTGAACACAAACCTTTACCTCAGAGCCTTCAAGTTAGACATTATACAAAAGGGCGTTACACATCTCAGAAAAGCAGGTCCACCAGCTGTGTGGGCAATGGGTGTTCTTTTTAGAGGGGGAATACTCTAAATTGTTTTTTATTATTTTATTCTTAACAAAAAGTTGTCTTCCTATAATATATTCCGATCATGGTTTCCCTTCCCTCATATCCTCCTCTCCATGTTTCCAACTCCACACCTCCTTTCTCTCTGTTTTCTCTCTCTCTCTTTTAAAAACCAAATGAAAACAATCAAGAATACAGCAGAACAAACTAACAAAAAGAAAATAAGAGCATAAGAAATATAGACATATAGCTAGACATACAGACACACAGATAAACACACACACACACACACACCATAAAAACTCAAGCTCATAATTCATAATACATTTTTTAAAAGCCAGTAAGATTAGCTGGCTATCTACTGCTTGGCATGAGACCTGCCCTTAAGAGGGGATTGTAGGCCCAGTGAGTCTCATTGGAGAAACTAAGTTTTCATTTGTCAGCGGGTATCATTTGAAGGTAGCTTTCTGGTTAGGAATGGGAACTTGTGTTTGCTTCCCCGTCTCAGGACTGGGATCCCTTCTGGTTTGGACCAGTGCAGGCCCTGTGCATGTCGCCACAGGATGTGTGAGTTCCTATGTGCATCAGTCCTGCTATGTCCGGAACGCCTTGTTTCCTGGCATCGTTCCTGCCCACCGGTCCTTACAATCTTCCCACCGCCAGCCCATGCAGTTCCCTGAGCTCTGATGGATCCTGTTTTCTATTCCAGTGTGTGAATCTGTTTCTTTTTACCGGGTAATTGAGGCCATTAGTATTGAGTATCAATGAACGATATTTATTGATTCCTGCTATTTTGTTGTTATGCTGTGGACTTCCTCCCTCTTGATTTGCTGGTGTGTGATTATTTATTCTTTATGTTTTCTTGGGTATGGTTAACCTGTTGAGATTGAAGTTTTCCTTCTACTGCTTTCTGTAGAGCTCAATTGGTAGGCAGATGATGTTTATATTTGTTTCTATCTTGGGATGATTTTCATCTCCTCATCTATTGTAATTGGTAGTTTTGTCTGGGCTGGCATCAGTCATCTCTAGAGATTGTAGGGCATCCATCTAGGCTCCTCTAGCTTTTAGCATTTCTACTGAGAAGTCAGGCATTATACTAATCGATCTGCTTTATATATTACTTTGTCTTTATCCCTTACAACTTTTAATACTCTTTCTTTGTTGTGAATTTTTAGCATTTTGTTTATTATGTCTAAGGGATCTTTCTTTCCTGATCCAGTATTTTTGGGGTTCTATATGCTCCTTGCATCATGATAAATACCCCCTTCTTTAGGTTAATGGAATTTTCTTCTATGAGTTAGTTGAAAATATTTCCTGTACCTCTGACCTGTGTTTCATTCCTTCCTCTATACCTGTAATTCATAATTTTGTCTTTTTATAGTGTCCTAGATTTCCTGGATATGTTGTGTCTGGATATTTTTGTTTCTTAGATTTAACATTTTCTTTGACTTAGTAGCCATTTCTTTTACCTTGTTTTCAACACCTGAGAGTCTCTCTTCCTTGTCTTGTACTCCATTTGTGAGACTTTCTTCTAAGTTTTTCATTTTCAATTTTATTTCAATTTTGGTTTCCTTTTGTGACTCTATTTCTACTTTTATGTCCTGAACTTATTTTATCATTTTATTCCATTGGTTTGTGTGTGTGTGTGTGTGTGTGTGTGTGTGTGTGTATTTTCAAAGACTACATTAAGATATTCATATCTTCTTTAACATCCTTGAACATGTTCATAAATACTATTTTGTAGTTCTCACCTTATATTTCAGTTATATTACATTTCAAAGGAGCTTCTATGGTAGAGTTATGTGGTTCCCGTGGGGATTTATTGATTATAAGTGTTGATATCTGGCCTTGTCTTCACTGGGTGTATATTTTGTTCCTTGATTTGTGTTCCTTTTAATGGGTGGTTAGTGGGTTGTGGTTGGGAGAGCTTCTGCAGCCTGAGCTGAAATGGTGGAGACAAAGAGAAGCATTGAGTTAAAGGTCTTTAAGAAGATAGGACAGACATATTAGATCCCATGATGCAGAAAGAGATCCAAGAATTAAAGATGGCCCGTGGTTTTGTAGCCTGGAGAATGCCATTGAAATAAATTAAATGACCTCAGAAGAAAACTCAATACCACAGAGTTTCCAAATGACTCTTAGGAAAATCAGATTCCTTGTAATAAATCACAGATATCAAATGAGTGTATCATGCTCTCACTGGGTTCATACAGGCAGTTCTCAACCCTACATGAGTAAAAGGTCACATTTAATAGACTTGACCCCACATGTTACACTGCTCAGGGATGGGTCAGCAAGTCATGGCTCCATCCAGTAGATGGGCTGCTAGACAGTAACTGAATACAAACAACGTGAAGATTAGGGTCAAGATAATTTTGGTAGGTAACCCAAAGCCTTTTCTGTTTAGAATAAAATACGGAACAAATAAAGGCAAAATTGAAACAAATGTGTTTTGACGTTGAAGAATTTTTGTTATTGCTTTGAGAAAGAGGAAGAGAAAAGGATAGAATACAAAGGTGTGAAATCGAGTGAATAGGGAGGGAGGTGAGGAGGATTGGGGTAAGCATTGGGGAAGAAGAAAACATGATTAGACTATAGTATATGGAAAAATTACTTAAAATCCAAAAAAAATGGTGTGTATGCAAGGGTCTCAGAAACTATCTGTTATCTAAGGCGACACCATGAAATAAAGTATCAGGCCAGATCCAATTCTAAGTTCTGATTTGGAAAGCCCTCTTATCTCCAGTCATGTCTACAAAGTGCTTGTTGCTCGGTGTCATAGGCCCTCCCCTTCGGTTAAATCCACCCTCAGGACAAACATGGATTCCTCTCACCAGCTCTCACACTGACACTTCCAATCTGAGAAATTGAAACAAATATTCCCAAGTGTTGTGATGCCCCAAGACAAATATATACTTCATGTTATGAGAACCAGTGGGTTGATCATTTCTATATACTAGAGACTCAAAGCTACTTCTTGTGCTCTAATAATAAAATGGCTGGAAAGTCATCAGGATTTATCACCTCAGATCTCAAAAGAGCAAACAGTTAATGAGAGGGACAGTCCTAGCACCTCAATTGAGCCTGCATCCCTCATCTGGATAGACTGTGCAGTAACTCATGTTAGTCAAGTCCGTCAATCAAATTAGCATGTGCTTACATGACGCATTCCAACAACTGAGCACAAGCTGGGCATCTCACATCAGCATGTTAGTGACCACGTTACAAATGTATGTCAAATCCCTTCACAGTCAACACAATAGCTCTAGGTTCCCCATCACAAGCACTTCAACTACATTATTTTGCCAATGAAACCAACCTTTTCTCCAGCTCAAGCAAGGGCACTTTGGAGCATGGTCCCCTGAGTATCTTACAGTGTCAAAGGGCAAGGAAAGGACAAGAAGCAAGAACAAAGGTTTTAGAGCTTTGCTAGAAGTTTGTCATCGCTGAAAATTATATAAACACGCAATTTTCTGTTTTCCAAAAGCATGTACGGATCCATGAGGCTGAAAATAACAGCTCCGTCATCACTAATGTAAGAATGGCACTTTAGGGGACATCTGGCTTGAAACTGAGTTGATTTAGCCAAAATGGCCAAGTAGTTTCATTCAACAATGGCACACAGAAAGGACCCCACTCATGTATGGATGGATTTATGCTAATTCTGTTGGAAAAAAACATTCTGAGCATGAGGCCGCTATGGCAGTGCTCTGTCAGGTCTGTTGTTGTTTCTCACCTCAAGAAGTAAAGAGTGTGATGAGAAATAATTGCCAGCTTTACTTCTGAAAGCAAGCAGAACCCAGAATTAATGTGAGAAAAAAAACCAGCAGTGCAGTCATTCGGACAATGGCTTTGATTTTCAATTCTCTATGGGACTTTAAATTCAGATAGGGCACCACAACTGAATCCTACAACCAGACTCAGCACTGTCTTCATCAAAGATCCTGCACTACACTTTGAAATACTTCCTCACTTTGGCAGTGGTGGAGAGAGACTATGGTAAATTCCCTTGTGAAACCATAATGATACTTTGAAGTAAGTAACCAAGGTGTGGGATACAGATACAGCATGCCGAATATAGGACACACCAACTCCAGGGCCAGCCAGACACCTCAGCAGGTAAGCATCTGCTGCCAAGGCTTACAACCTGAGTTCAATCCCTGGGACCAAGATGGCGGAAGGGCCCACAAGTTGTATTCTAACCTGCACATACTGTAGTGTACAGGCAGGTATGTGAGCACCCCTGGAGTACTCTCTCTCTCTCTCTCTCTCTCTCTCTCTCTCTCTCTCTCTCTCTCTCTCTCTCTCTCACTCACACACACACACATTTTGAAAGAGGAGGTAGGGTAACAAGAGGTGGGTAGGGCAATAAGAGTGGGTAAGGTAATGGTTTGGGTATGCAAAAGTAAAACCCTGGGTTTGGATCTCTAGAGCCCAAGTGAAATGTCAGGAGGGTGCGGTAGTCCTCATGGAGTTCTAGCCTCAGAAGGCAGAGATATGGAGTCCATCCACAGAGAAAGCCGCCTGTGAAGGCTATTATCAGGTGTCAACTTGACTGCATCTGGAATTAACTGAAACCCAAGCTGCAGGACACACCTGTGAGGGATTTTTCCTGATTGGATCATTAGAGGCAGGACAATCCACCTTAAAGCTGAACCACACAAAGCTGGTGGCAGGCTACATACAGGACACGGAAGAAGGAAGCTTGCTGTCTTTGCCTGCTCTAAGTCTCACTCTCACTGGCAAGTTCATTCCCTCACTGTTTTAGAGCCTATTTCCTTGGGATTCCAGAATAAACTGAAGAGCAGCTGAGACTTCCAACCTTGCAGATTGAACAACTGAAGAACTCTGGGACTTTCTGTTGGTAATCATTCATTGTTGGAATAGTCAGACCACAGCCTTTAAGTCATTCTAATAAGTCTACCAGGCCTGTTCCTCTAGAACCCCGACTAATACACTGGCTAATAACATGAGCCCTGTTGGAGAGCTTGACTGACAGACCCTGTCTCAGTGAAAAAGTAGGGTGATGTGGGGGATGATCTCTGATATGAATCTCTACACACATGAGTGAGTGTGTGTGCAACCACACATATGTGTCCATACATATGCAAACGTATATGCACACACATGGAAAATGAAAAAGAAAGTAAGAAGAGACCTCCCATCGGTCCCTGGAACTCACTTTTCTCCTGGACGTAGAGATAACCCTCCATGGTCCACTGGCTGGGTGGTCTGTAATCCTGGTTGGCAGATTTCATCCGCTGCATCAGCCTCTCCACCTCCTGTCGAGTACTTTCAAAGTTATTCCGTGTCTGAAGGAAAGAGCCAACAAACGCACTCAATATTTGCACCAGGTCTGAGGAACTTCTCAACTAACATCTTAAAACTGCCAAAGCTATCGTGGTAACCTTGACCCTGTTGGCTCTGTTTGACATAAAAGGACTCTGTTGTGCTCAGGTGTGTGTCTGCTTTGAGCCACACCAGTGGCAACATTCCTAGGGACTATCTACACCCTTCTCTGACTCTCCCTGTGATTGTGTGAGGCTTTCCACCTTCATACTCCCCGGTGAGTCGCAAGTAGGTGAGATCATTGAGTGTCTACATGGATACCTAAGATTGAAAGTAGATACATAAGAAAGACCTTAATCTCTTTTGAGGAAGAAGAAAAAGATGCTTTTAATTATGTGATAAAGAACAAGTTTTTAAAAATCCTCTCTTTCCCAAAAGCTTGTTTTAAATTTAACTATTTTAGAATTAAAATCACTTTGCTGGATGAACTCACAGATAAATATATCACATGGGTAGATTAAGGTGGCCACTCAAATAAACTCAGTTCCAGGGTCTACATCTCAGTGAATGCTATCGTTGAAAGGCTTTGTTGAGAAGACATCACATGTTTTGGTTTCTAGAAGTACCAACAGTTGTTGGACGATTGGTGTAAAATGTATTCATAGGAAACCAAGTTCTTACTTTTTCTGAGAATAATAGTTCAAATACTTGATAATAATTTGTGTAAGCTGTAGAAAAAGAATAAGGTTTTCTCCAAGAGAATCTGTCTTACATTCAAAACACATCACCCTAACAAAGGGTGTCTAAAATCATTAAAAACCACAGCTTACCTCCAGATCTCTCTATGGTCCACAAACAGAGAGTTGAACCATAAAATAGATTAGGATCTTTTTCTGTGAACTACCTTGCTGTTTTTCTCTTTAAAATATTAGAACTGATTCTTTTCAAATGCTTCCTTTGTCCTATCCCAACTGTGGTAATTGTAGTAAATACAGAAATAACTCATGAAAACTGGTGTCTGCAATTTTCCTCTTTAAGTTTTACTGAAGACAGACAACTGCCTTCCACATCGAAGAAACAATGCAAGTAAATTAAAGGTGAAACCACTCCTGCTAGGGAATCCAAGCTAAGGATTACAAAAATCCAATTACATCGCTCTTCGGGGCCACACCAGCTTGATGGTGTGCTCATTAGACTGCACGAAGACAAGACCCAGCAAACAGAAGCACACCCTTCACAGAAGACTGAGGGAGGCTTCCTTGGTTATTACGGCTGGAGTGCTAGTCAGGATTTCATCGACTGAAGACTCCACATCAGGGCTTCATTCTTTCCCAGGTTTGACAACGGCAGAAATGTGCTAGCTGATGGTGGAAGTCTCACTGTGTGTTCAGAGCCTGGAAGAACTAGAGGGTTTCACTAAACACCCTGGTGGAAGCGGATGGTTTGTGAGTAACTCTCATCTGACCCTCAAGCCAAATGCATTCGAAGGCTTCAAAACGGCATGTAAACTTCTCGGCAAATAATCATTAGCACATATTCTACATGTGATTTCAGAGCTGAGGCCTTAGAATGTGAAGACATATTGCTTTCTCAGCAAGTAAGATGTGTAAAGACCACCAACCCTCATGCGCTCCCTGCTTTGAGGAGTAACTCACAGGTACACACCTTGTGGGTGCCTGTGATGTGTTGATGTCTATGTATGTATGTATGTATGCATGCATGTATGTATGTATATATGTATATATATACATATATTGCGAAATCACTTCTACAATCAGGTTAAGTATGTATGCATCACCACATTTATTTACTATTCTTGTTTGTGTGTGGCGAGGAGCATTTAAGGTCCATAAAATATTTCACGTCTATACCACTGTATTGTATATACTTGACACAGTGGATATGAGAATTCCAGAGCCTATTCATCCTGGATCACCCACTAAGCTAGTAAGAATACTAGGTAACTCGGGGTCCTCCACCTTGGTAATATTTACTTTTATAAAATGTACATTTTTCCAGGATACAATCAGCTCTTCTCTGACATGCGTTTAACTAGACACTAGGAGATACATTATGAGGACATCTATAAAGTGGACTTGCAGTTCACCGCATTTCGACAAGGCCTGGCTTGGTTCTAACTGAGTCACTCCGAGGTCATTGCTAGGGAATGACGGCAGAAGGTGCACTCTTACATTCTGCAAGTTGAACTGTAGCTGTTGCTTATATGGTGCAAATTCCTGGGCAAGTTCATATCCCTCGTGGTAAAACGTAAACAAGCCTTGAAGGAAGGACAAAAGCTGCAAAGATAAAAACACACACAAAATCGTAAGAGTCTGCTATCCATACAAGAAAAGATCACTCGATGCAAATATCGAGGAAGTCACTCTAGTTTCTCCAAGAAAGAGCGTTAGATCAGCGCCTTTGGCCACAGAGTCCTGAGTGCGAGACGGAGACGAAGGGTCTTTCTCTTTCGTCTCTTCTCCGTCTGCTCATGAACAGGTGGATGAACTGCGGATGGTTCTGCCGCAAATGGACCATGAAATAACCACCCGAGGCCTCTCGGGGGGGACCACGGATAATCAGAGAGTCTCTAGCCAAAACAGAAAGGGGATTAGAGATACAGAGACGGGCCAGAAAGTCACAGCGAGGAGTAGGCCATGAAGAGTACAATTTGTCCAGAGGGAGACCAAAAAGCTTCGCCACAAGGTGGCGGTACAGATCCTGGTACTGGATAGAGGAGGTTTCTTCGCAAGAATTCAGTAGAAGTCGCACGATCTTTCCTACCTTGAGTAAAATCTCCAGGAAAGAAATTCCATAGTTCTAGCCCAGAAATCACAAATTTATTAGTGTCTAACTGCTTTATAGTTGTATCTGTAAGGAGGGCTTATCCTAAAATTATGGGACAGGTATATTTATATGGTAAGTTTATCAAAAAGAATTGATTTGATATTTTCTGTAACTCAATGTAATCTTATTCCACACCTTGGGGCACTAACTCAGTTCACAGCTTCTTGCTGGAACACATTTTTGAGATACTTAGACATTGACATTTCGTATCATTAAGTTAAAAGAGAAGGACAATTTAAAATCATTTTCATATGTGAACAGCTTCTTGCTGACTCCTCTGAGCCTCCGTAGGGAGGCAGGAGAACCTCACCGAGGGTCATCTCATGTGTGTCCACATTGCCAACACCAGAGAGTCAGTTCTACTGGAAAACGACAACATTGTGGTTTTCTTTCAACATATACACACACAGTTGTGTTCACTTCAAGGAGTCTGGCACTTTCAAAAAATGTTTTCTTAAGTTGTTTTTTTTTTTCATTTAATTTTAAATCCAGGTTAGAGCAAACTGGAGCTTCAAACTAGACTTTAAATGCTTTCAGTTAGGCCATCCTGTGTGGATCTAGACTTTTCCGAAGGTGGAAACATTAACAAACTTCTGAAGTTAACGCGGGTGCTTAGGAACTCATCAGGAGCATTTGCTCTGGTGGCATCTGTAATTAACCCACAATGAAACTGTTGCACTGTGAACTAGATGTCATACGGAGCAGGTGCTACTTCAAAGCCATCATGAGCCACCAAGTTAATTAAATTTACAGTGGAGATATTTTAAAAAACATTGTAATGCATCTATAAAATAGCTAATACACCCAAATCTACTCTTTTAATATTCTGACTGCTCAGAAAGCGGCGGTAAAAACACTCATGTCAGAAATATGATTACAGCCAAATGGTGGCATGTTATCATCAGGTCAGATGAGTGCATGGCGTATGTGAGTTCGTGGAATCTGTCTTGAGGCTCTGGCCTACGGTTACATTATATATTATAATATTAGATGCCTACAGAAGAGCCAAGTGCCTACAACTACCCGAGACAGCCTTTCCCACACAGAAAAAGACCTCTGGTGTCTGCCAAGTCACTCATTCTATTGGGGCCCCCTGAAGCTCTCATGGGAGAGCAACTTGACAGACACTGTGGTGAGCCAGCATTCCCCACTGAGACCTGCCGCCGACTATGCTTTGAAATTCATGATCCCGGCACTTGAGTCTCCATAAGGTGGCTCTGTGTCCTCAGTATTTCTGTTGCAGTGACTGCAATGCAGACAGAAACCCTCCGGCCAACCCTGGCCATAGCCTCATCTGCTGGAAGAATCCGTTTTCTCTCTCAAGGAATGCTGAGAACCCAGTAGGGAATGTACAGGTTTATTGAAGTACATAAAAATTGCACACCAGAGGCCGGAGAGATGGCTCAGCAGTTAAGAGCACTAGCTGCTCTTGCAGAGGACCTGGATATCTGCGTCCAAATGGCCACTTACAGCCCTCTGCAACTCCCGTTCCAGGGGATCTGACACCCTCTTCTGGCCTCCATGGGTATTATGTACACATATGGTGGACACATATAGATGCAGGCAAAACTCACACACATGAAACAAAATAAATGAATCTTTAAAAAATAAAAATTAAACCGCACATCAAGAGCTGCCATCACCTTTTTCCTCTGTGTTGCATTTCTTTGAAAGTAGCTTGGGGGAGTCCAAACAAAAATGGGTGTGAAATAACAGCCTCTAGATGGCAGCAGAGATCAACTTTTTTTTCTTTTCTTTTTTTTCTTTTTTAAGGGAGCAAGCGCCTATAGTCAGCCATTGCTTGCATGCTTGATAAACTCCACGATGTTAAAGCAATGAGGCCCGGCAGAAGTGCCCGAGAACTTTGAGGAACTGTCCTTCTCAGATGCCCAGCACCTCGGCTCAGTGCCTTGGCTTGCGTGTTGTGGGAAAGACAGGCCTAAGCCTGTGGTGGAGTAAAAGTGACCTTTACAAAAATGTCGGTGATAATTACTACTTTCATTTTACAGTTATTATTTTGTGTGTGTGTGTGTGTGTGTGTGTGTGTGTGTGTGTGTGTGTGTGTGTGCGCGCGCGCGCGCGCGCACTACGGTGCATACATGCAGGTCAGAGAACTACTTTCAGGAAGGACCCTGCTCTCTTCTCCTTCCATGTGGGTTCCGGGCAAGCTGTGGTCATCAGGCTTGGTGGCAATTGCCTTTACCCAAGTTTCACTCCTTCAGCACCAGGAAATTCCCCTATCACACCTTACTATTTCCCTGCTGTGTAGAGTAAAATTACTATTTATTAGTCCCCAAACAAGACCAAAAGTCAACGCTGATACTGTGTTTGAAGATTAGGACACAATAAACATTCATAATTTGCCTCGCCTGTTAGTCACCACTGAATGCTGGATGGATGTGTTACTTCTCTCCTCACAAAACATGTGAAGACTTATTTGGCTAATGGTTCAGAAGATTCCTCAAACCATGAAACAGTGTTGGTAGGTGGGGCACAGTTTCAAATGCATGAGCCCATGGAGGACTGTCCACACCTGTTCAAATACACAAGCCCATGGAGGACTCTCCACATGAAAGTAACACATGATCAAATACACTAGCCCATGGAAGTCTGTCCACACTAAAGTGCACACATGTTGGACTACATGAGCCCGTGGAGGACTGTCCACACTAAAGTGCATACATGTTCAAGTACATGAGCCCATGGAGGACTGTCCACACTAAAGTGCACACATGTTGGACTACATGAGCCCATGGAGGACTGTCCACACTAAAGTGCACACATGTTGGACTACATGAGCCCATGGAGGACTGTCCACACTAAAGTGCACACATGTTGGACTACATGAGCCCATGGAGGACTGTCCACACTAAAGTGCACACATGTTCAAGTACATGAGCCCATGGAGGACTGTCCACACTAAAGTGCACACATGTTCAAGTACATGAGCCCATGGAGGACTGTCCACACTAAAGTGCACACATGTTGGACTACATGAGCCCGTGGAGGACTGTCCACACTAAAGTGCACACATGTTGGACTACATGAGCCCGTGGAGGACTGTCCACACTAAAGTGCACACATGTTGGACTACATGAGCCCGTGGAGGACTGTCTACAGTATGGTATGTGGTGCTCCCAAAGGATTCACAACTAACGGCCCCAAGTTACTGCAAAGACCAACTGTGGCTGAGCAAAGAGGGAAAGCTAGGTAGCACTGGAGGTGGGAGGAGCTTCCCAGGAGTGTGTGCAGGAATTCTAAAGAACTGCTGCCTAACTAGGCTGGAAAAGCTCGTATAACCAGTCACTTGTTTTTTACCTGATGGCCAGTCAATTATTATTTGTAATTTATTTTTTAGATCAGGTGTCATTTATCCCAGGCTGGCCTCTAACTATGTAGCCATGTAGCCAAGGATGACCCCGAGCTTTGGGTCCTCCTGGCTCTACCTTGCAAATGCTGGGATTTTAGGTGCATACCACCATGCTTGGTTTATGTGACGTTAGCAAGAGATCAAGCTGAGGGCCTTCCTCATGCTGCACAGGTATTCTCCCAAATCCATCCCCAGGGATAAACTGACTTTAGCACATTACGGAGATCTCTGACTGCACACGACCACACTGTCAACCATGTTCCCCATGCATCCGGGATCTGGGAGATGTGACCATCTATTTCCACACAGCCCTTCCAGCAGCCTCACTGACACTACGGCCATCTCTGACCACTAGAATGCATGGCTTCGTCTATTGAAGCACTAGTCACTGATGAAAATGCTCCCGCCGTTAACATTATACTTAGTCATGAAAGGCTCAACAGCCCCTCTCATCCAGGTTCTGGAAGAAAACAAGGATGCCCACTCCAGACATTTCTGCTCAATACTGGATTCTTGGCTAGAGTCAGGGCAATTAGGCAAGAAAAGGAAATGCAAACTATTCATACTAGAAAAAAAACAGCAAAGCTATTTATAAATGCCCTGAACTTGTGTACATAAAATCCTAAGGAATCCATTAAAAAAAAAAACTAATAGAACTAATAAACAACTTCTATGAGACCAGTGTACAAAAACTGATTTTATTGCAAGGTACATGAAAACAATTTGAAAATGACATTAAGAAAACTTTCATCTTCAAAGCCTTAAAAGAATAAAATATCTAGGAATTGATTTAGCAAATTTAATTCAAAACATATTCTTAAAACCACGAACACAGACTTAAAACATGAACCCCAGATTGATAGCTGAGAGATCAGCATGGGACTGATCCAGACCCCCTGAACGTGGGTATCAGTGAGGAGGTCTCAGCATTCTTTGGGGCCTCGGGCAATACATCAATACTTATCCCTGGGATCCAGATGGACTTTGGGAGCCCATACCACATGGGGGGATGCTCTCTCAGCCTGGACTCAGGGAGGAGGGCCTGGGCCCTGCCCTGGGACAAGATGAGGGCCTTACCCTCTCTGGAGAGTGGAGTTGGGATTGGGTGGGGGGCTGGGGAGGTTGGGGGACCAGGGGAGGAGGGGAGTAAGAGGGAGCTGGGATTGACATGTGAAACAAGCTTGTTTCTAATTTAAATTAAAAAAACAGGTTAAAAAACATGAGCACAGCATAAATAAACTAGAGAAGTGCAAACAAATAAAAAAAATCCCTCTTTCATGGTTTGAAGAACTTGATATTGTGAGGATGAAATTTTCTCCAAATTGATGGACAGGCATAGGAAAAACCAGATCCTCAGCTGACATCATTTCAGGGCCTAATAACTCTAAACTTGCATGAAATGGAAAGCAATATAACTGACCACAAAGATCTCAGTAAAAGTACACTGGGAAGCCTCGCCCACCTTAATGTCACTCAAACTGAACTCCAGGCAGTGAATGAGCAGATCCTGTGAGAGCAGCAGAGAGAGAGATACAGAACACTGAGGGCATTATAGTTAGAATGGGCGGCATCTGGTTCCCAGCTGGTGGCGCTCTTGTGGGAGGCTGAGAACTCCAGGAGGTGGAGCCCTGCTGGAGGAAATGGGGGAGGTGGGGATGGGGGAGTGGCAGGGGGAGGGGGAGGGGGAGGGACGCTTATGGCTTCCTACCACATGACTTCTAGTTTCCTAATCTGCCCAGGACTGAGCCAGCTCCCACAGCCGTCTTGACTTCTCCACCACAACAGACTTAGTCTTGTGAAACTCTGAGCCAAATATGTCTTTCCCCACACATCACAAATCTCTGGTCAACCAGTTGTTCACAGAACTCTCTAGAAACCACAAAGAATAGGGAAAGAATAGTCAATGGCCAACATCGGAATAGATTTCCTATCCACTCAGCAGGAAAATTATATGTACAACGTAATTGTTTTAAAATTGGTAGCTCATACCGATAACCTGGCACTCCAGACAGAGGCAGGAGAATCCAGAGTTTAAGGCTACCTCAAGTACACAGAAAGTTTGAGGCCAGCCTGGGCTACACAAAACACTGTCACAAAGAGAGAGAGAGAGAGAGAGAGACAGAGACAGAGACAGAGACAGAGAGAGACAGAGAGAGACAGAGAGAGACAGAGAGAGACAGAGAGACAGAGAGAGAGAGAGACAGACAGACAGAGAGACAGAGAGAGTACAAAGAAGCTCAGGTGAAACCAAATTCTTGCTTCAAATGATTTTGTGCCCGCATCAGATCTGCTTTCATGCTCACACTGTCTTGGCCCCATCCGTGCTCTTCCGGTTGCTGAAATAGAAACGTCAAGACTCCGCCAGACAAGAGGACAGTAATAAGCGGTTGCACAGACACTCCAGCAGGAAAACACAGCAGTCAAGAAAATAATGCAGGACACGTCTCCCTTCAATTTTGAGGATGGCATCGTAAGAGAGGCACGTGCTACAAAAGGCTTATTTGGGATAAGGTAAGGGAGGAAAACTCATTTCAAGTAGAGGAGCACTTCCATTTCCCCGAAGTCCAAGGACACGTATCAATCCTTCTGCCTGCCACCTACGAGAAATGATTCCATAATCTCTTGGTACAACTAATGCCGGGTCCTGGAAAGGTGTAGCTGAGTGTTTCCCGACAGGACGGGCCATAAAGAAACTCAACTTAGGCAACAGCCAACTGCCAAGTCACTCTCCAGGAGGTCCGCAGATGAGACAACGTCTTTCCAGGTGCAGACAAGCAATAACAGCACAGGAATGGGCAGTCAGAGGAAACACACAGGAAAAAAGGCCAGAATTAATGGGCTCTCATACTGTGGTGTAAAAAGAGCCTCAACTTAGGAATGTTGGAGGCAGGGGTTGCAGGAGTTCTCTAACCTGGGGAGAAGGGAGAAGTGTGGCTTTCTAACTATGTGTCGGGGAGGCTGGACCTGTGGGTAGGGGAGTACCCTGCTCTTCCAGAGGGCACCCACATCAGGAGGCACACAACCTGTTAACTCCAGCGCCCTCTTTAGGCCTCCAAGGGCACCCACACACGAGGCACCCCAAACACAAATACACATATATAAAGTTACTCAAAAATCTTAAAATGATGTGACAGACTTTGATGATCCCCCATGGAAGGCCTCACCCTTTCTGTGGAGCAGAAGAGGGATGGGATGGAGGTCAGTGTGGGGCATGGGAGGATGGGAGGGAGAGGGAACTGGGATTGATATGTAAAATGAGATTGTTTCTAATTTAAATAAAAATGTATAGGAAAATCTTCAAAGAAAAACAATCATAGTGGGACTCTCTGGCAGGGCTGAGTCAGTAAGAGGTACCAGGAATCTAAGTAGTGGTCTTTGTCACAGAAAGCCCCTTAAAGCCATGTGAAGTTTAATCAGATCATCGAACGGTCTGGTGGGTAAGTTACTTCTTCATCTGACCAACAGTTCTTTAGCAAGCAGAGCTTTGAGTCAAGTTGGCTGTTCCAAACACAAGTCTGAGTTATGGCCCAGCTCTTTGACCCTCCTGATGGGTTTTACCGTACACAGGGTACCTTGTTCACAGGACAGAGTCAGTGGACCCGTATTCGTGCAGACTCTGCTCTCTCTCATTGTCTGTCTGGTGGGATCCCACAGAAATAGATTGTGACAAATGTGTTTGAAAACATTGTCACCCTTTCCTCGCTACGTCATCGTCATCTCCCTAAGGCAGGGATGGATGGTGGACTTGGTTTTTATTATGAATGAGTGTCTCCTAGCCTGCCATAGGAAGAAAAGGATAGCCCTGCTCTTGGGCTTGCCTCCCTGTCATCTCATCTCATGGGAACTGTGTCCTGCCTATGCATCTGCATCAGAAGATTACCTTGACACCAGGGCGGACCTTACGCATCACAGATGCCTCCTTATGAGGACGCTCATATGAGTGACACTGTTACAATTTAGTTAGTGCTTGGAAAACATGCTAGGGGAGTATAGTAAGTATTCTGACCTGTTCTCTTCTGCAATACCATTTGCATTGGAGAATCCATCACTTCTTACGTTAACCTAGGAGAGCAAATGGCTTCACAGGCAAAGGCATGCAGGGCCTAGATTTGCAAGGAAGGTCTGATGGGCATGGAACAAAAGGGGGTCCTGGGCCTTTCCCCATTCACCTTTAAGTTCGGTAACTGGAGTGCTGTATAGGTCGGGTGTATTCATTCACACACAGGTAGCTTTCTCTTTCTTGTGCTCAGATTTCTGACAAAAAGCAACTTAACACAGGAAGAAAAGTTATTTTGGCCTGTGGTCTGAAGGCACAGTCAGTGGTGGGGAGCAGGTGGGGAGAGCACAGGAGGCAGAGAGAGCGGAACACAGACACCTACACGCCCTCTCCTTCTTATCTTCTTGTTCAGCCCTGCACCCAAGCCCTTGGGATGTGCCACCCATTTCCAGGACTTCTCACACAGTCCCAACCCCAGTCAATCCTCTCTGCAAAGGCACTCCTGAAAAAATTCATAATGAGCTTCCTTCAGGGCCTAGGCATTTCCTAGCCAAACAAAGTTGACAAATCAAACTTCACTGTCATAATGACATACACACCATTTTGTGGTGCTATATATGAATAGATTTTATTCCCAGCACAGTTTCAGTTTTCCTAGAAAAATGAGGTTTCCCACACACCCTCAAGCACTCATCCTGCATTTCACACATAGTGGTCTTCACTGTTAATAACTTGCATTCCTGTGGTAGAGTTAAAACAGTCAGTGAGTCAATATGGATACATTATTAACTGAATCCAAAATCACTATTTGAGTTTTGAATTCTATGAGTTTACTGGCACATTTCATTCCTTCACCATTACAAAAAGACACAGAGGAACCCACTGCCCTAAAGGTATTCATTCTTCCCCGACTCTCTTCTTTTTATTTTCTTTGGTCATAATTGCAAACAACTGAATCACTCTAAAGCACTCTCCTCATAGATCATTTTTAAGGTTGTTATATATGAGAAGACTAAAACTTACCGGCTCCACAAACTCAAATTTCTTCTTCTCTTGAACCTCTTGGATTTTAAAGACATATTCTAATGAAGCTTCATAGAAGTTCTGATGTTCTCGGCCAATCTGTGAATCTGCCTAAAAAAACGTAAGAACAGCAGCATGACACAGGGGTTAAGTACTGCAGAGTGTATACACAGAGGGAGACAAGACCGGGTAAGCCCCAAAAATTCTTATTAAATACTAACTCCTGAAAAGAGTTGCGCTGCAGCCCCAACCCAGTAAAGCTGACAGTGTGTGGAGTCAAGATGAACACAGAGGCACATGTCCAGCTAAGTACCAAAGGGCATGACCCACCAAACCAAAGCACCTTCACACTCAAAACGAAAAGGCCACAGTAAACAAAAAAGAGGCACATTGAAAGCCGAAGACATGGGGGGAGTCTTCAAAGTGTATGCAAATGCTTATAAAATCTATAGAATCAGAGAAGGCACTAAATTCTGAGAGAAAATGCTAGAGTTGTCTCTCAACATGAACAACGGATAGTGAATTAATTCAGCCTAGGAGAAGGGTCAAAGAGGGGTACGAGGAGGGTGAGTGAGCGGGAGAAGGTGATGGGGCATACACACACACCAGTCAGGAAACAAAAGGATAGTCTGAGGGAGGAGGGGCCAGCAGTAGGGGAGGGGCCAGCGGTAGGGGAGGAGCCAGCGGTAGGGGAGGGGCCAGCAGTAGGGGAGGGGCCAGCAGTAGGGTGGTAGGGGTTGGGGGAGGCACTATGTGTGGGTGGGCAGGTCAAAGAATAACTGCATACATGTGTGAGAAGGTCACCCTGGAACCCACTTCTGTGCATGCTGAAAAATTAATAGAAAGGAGGGAGAAAGAGATGGGGAAGGGAGGAAGAGAAGGAGGCGGCGGGGAGTGTGGACAGAAGTCACCATCATGAAATACAAGGGCCGGAAGAGCTTGGCAGAGCCGGCTGCAGAAGAAACAGAAAAAGTAAGATTGGAAGATCTCAGATGCTTCACAGAAAATATGAATTTTTAATCAAAGAAGTGTTTGAGAATATAAGCAAGAAGGCAATTGGGGAAAACTGGACATAGACAATATGTTAACAGAGCCCAGAACAAAAAGTTGAGCAACGGTCCTGTGGTGGATCAGGGGCACCTCTTGCTGGCTGCTCTCAGGGCGGGACAGAGCTATGGAGATGGTTCCATTGTCTTTCTGGCTTTGTCTCTCCTTTTCCATGCCATCCGGCTGCTCCCTTGAAGAGTGACGCTGGTTCTGTATGTGTACACAGGCACCTTCTCTTGCCCTGCCCCATTCTCCTGCAGCGGCTTAGATTAACGCCACAGCTGAGGAGAAGGGGCTTGCTGCAGTAGAGTTTTCTGATGGTAACCTGGGAACAGAACCCTGTCTGGAAGCCACTGACTGACACGGGTAATGAGGCAAGCAACGGTATCACAAGAGCATACAGCTGCTTGCCCTGGTCACCACAGAAACCAGGGTTTTACCTGGAGCCCTCAAGATGATCACATACCTACTGTGTACTTGACAATATGGTTATAAATAATCCAGTATTGCCAGCAACTCACTTGGGGTTTAAAGTTGAGAATTCTGGTTTAAACTAACATAGGTTGAAAATTAGGTGGATTTGATCCAAAAGTTTTCCAGCCTTGGAAAATCATTAAGGAACAGTATTGTTCAAAATAGAAGGACAAGCGTGATCCCAGGTAAATGTACCACTCTCCTGCTTACAATCGCCTAGTAGAGTCAATTCAGGTTAGGCATGAGAAGGGGGTAGAGGCTCTTGAGAGAAAGTCTGATTTGTGGTATGTGCTGGTTTCTGTGGGATCAACAGTCCCCTACTGGCCACTTTCAAGCCGCAAAGGCACTATCAGTGAATGCAGGAGTTGGAAAGAAAACCAATGGGCTGTCTACAGCAATCTTGGGGCCCTACAATGTCCTGTTCCAGATGCAGCACTACATCTAAGGATTTTATGCTCTTTAAAAGATGCCATCATTGAAGGCGCTGCCTCGCACATGAGAAGAATCTAGAATACTGAGTCCAAAGTGGCTGTTCCTAGCTCACAGGCTGAGCAGAAGTGTCAGTCCTGCCAGCCTGACTGCTGTCTTTTGGAAGAACTACTAAGAAGACGGAATGCTCGTGGTCAGTGCCCAGGAGTGTGCTTCAAAAATTCCCATAGCAACCAGCCTGGTGTAAGTGAAACTGTCCTATGAGACGTTATGTTCTTCAGTGTAACCACCAGACTTCTGAAACAATGCAGACAAGAAATGGGAATTCCAGGGATCTCACACGGGGATAGAAATGGCCTGGGCGACTGTCTCCAGTCAAAGGGGAACCTATCCCCACAGCTTGACCAGGACTTCTCAGATGTGAGTATCCATGCCCCCTTATTAAATTAGTTCTCACCTCAGGACCAAAGATGGACCTGGTGGGGTTGTCCACTGGATCTCCTTTTCTCTCTTCCCAGCGTGGCCACACTAAATGAATCTTTCTTGCTTTTTATTAGTAATTGGGCTGTTTTAATTGACTTCTTGAGGATAGGTAACTGAATCTGGCTTCCTGGGGGTATAGATCGTAACTGCAAGTGTGGTAATACTCTCATTAGCTGGTAAAATGATTATATTGTACCTAAACTTCAGGAAAGCAATATGGCTTCTGGGGGATATTTCCTTTCCTTCTAGGAATGATGTGGGGAGATGGCCATGTGACTGCCCTCCAGTGAAAGCACTGGACACTGAGTTTCTGGTGTCTGAATGTTGCCATGGGCAGACAGCACTTCAAATGTGCGCTCACAACCATGCCTGAAGGAATGAAACATGCCTGTGTCCCTCCCCTGAGTGACGGGCTCTGCACTTGGCTTCCCCAGACATTCCCACCCACATGAATCCCAACCACAAATCCGTGGTGTCCCGTGAGCCTTCCCATGCAATCACCACGCTAGTGATAGCCTAGGAGACCCCTGACATAAGAGTCTGAGATCATTTCTCTGGATTCTTGGCTGCTGTGCACACTGCCTTTCCTCCCAAGGTCCCTCTAAGGAGACTCGGGGAGGGGGATAGAAGAGAAACAAATGTGCTGTACAATAGAAATTCAACACGGCAAAGATCCCGAGGTACCCATCCTTAAAGACTATGACAGCTCCATTCTTTCTCAGTACAAGATGGATAAGGGCATTTTAACGTGAGATGCATTCCCTTGGAATAGAGGCTGGCCAGAAAACACTTAGGTCAGGAATAGTGACTCAAGCCCATAATCCTAACACTCAGAAGCAGGAGGATTGCTGTGAATTCAAAGCCAAGGAAAAAGGACACTCTCTACAGAGCGGGAGTCTGTTCCAACAAATACAAAATAAGAAACAAAACAAAATTTGCTTATAATCCCAGTAACAGGTGTTGTCTATTTTTACAGCTAAGCAGAGCAACAATACGATTTCAAAACTAACAGAGGACACCAGCAGTGATGACGGCTCGGCAGCAGGTGTGCCCTGGAGCTCACACAGCAGAGAGGCTGTAACAAAGGAACAGGTGTGATCTGCCCTATGTCCCCTTCAATGCCAGTATTCTGTCTTGGTGTGAAGGGAGAGCACCTCAGGGCGTTTTTGCCCAACCACCCCTCCAGGAGAAAATATTTATGGTGGACTCAGAAAAAAATAGGCAAGCTTGGAGTTGGTGAAGATAATGAGAAGAGCTAGGCTGGAAAACAACAAAACAGAAATCCCAGCTGGGTGTGGTTCATGCCTGTGATCCCAGCTGGCTCTCATGAAGTCAAAGCCTACTCTGGGCTACATAGTACATTTTGTAAGGGTTACAGAGCAAGAGCCTATTGAGAAGGGAGGGGAGGGACAGAGAAAGAGAGAATGAGAATCAGAAGTTTTGTTTAAAGATTTACGAATCTATTTATGTGTGTGCTTGCATGAATTTATGGTTCCCACAGGCATGCAGGTGTCCAGGGAGGCCAAAGGGTGTTAGATCCCCTAAGATTGGAATTGCAGACAGTTGCTGCCATGTGGGTGCTGGGAGCCAAACCTGGGTCCTCTACAAGAATGATCAGTGGTCTTAGCCATCCAGCTGTCTCTCCAGCCCCCGAAGTTGCATTTAGACTTATCGAAAGGGTACTAACCAAATGTGTGGTTTGGCATGAGGTACAAGGAGAGCTACGGGAGAAATGACAGAGAGAATGCAGACCCCATCCCACAGACAATGCAATAATTTGAAAGGGCCCAAGCTGTATATCAAGAATATGTGTGTGAGGACAGCACATTACAAACAGGTTAGACAGTGGGTCAGGCTGCATGTAACAGGTTTTTGTGGTCACAGCAAAAGTGGCTGGTGCACTTCCACATAACAAGGGCAAATTGAAAGATGTGGGATGACTGCAAGAAAAAAAGAAAGAAAAGACTTCAGTATAAATTTCATTCACTCGAGAAACAACACCAGCATGAACACGTCATTGAAGAAATGAAGGTTTAAGAAGGGCTGTGATGTATAAGATTTCACATAACACTTAGGACCCGCTGGCTGTCCTGGGAACTAAGCAATGCAAACTGCCCAGGCACAGTAGGATCATGCCTTGGATAGAGTCGGTTTACACAGTTTATGTACATGTGTGATCACTCCTAGCTTTTAAATCACAGATGATAAGGATGTAAACACAGGTCATCCTGCATGCACAGCAAACACATTGCCGTCTGAGCCATATCTCGAGTCCCAAACACACAATTCCAACAGCCATACCATTTTGAGTCTTGCTATGTGTTTTAGTTATTCTTTTGTATCAGACCAAAGATTGTAAGTGTTGATCCTGTGGGTGTTTGGTCTCTATAAGAGTTATAAACTCCGTAAGCTCATCTCTGATCATTTCTGCAGAGCAAACTCTTAACAGTAAAAATTATGTCAGTTTCCGGGTACACTTAAAATATGTGAAACAACAAACGAAGTGGCATCAAGAATATTCAGCCTTTTTATGTTTTATGAAAAAAACAGAAACATGACCAGAGGCTGGGTGTGTGGACATGGTGGGTGTAGTGGCGTGACCCTTCAAACGTAGAATTTTGGAGGTGAAGCCAGGCACATCTTTGTGAATTTTAGGATAACCAGGGCTACTTAGTGAGATCCCATTGAAAGAAAAAAAGAAAGAAAGAAAGAGGAAGGATGGAGGGAAGGGAGGGAGGGAGGATGAAATGAAGGAAGGAAGGAAGGAAGGAAGGAAGGAAGGAAATTCTCATGTCTTTGCTAACAACAGATTTTTCCTACATTGAAAACATTAGCTTGCATTATTTAGCACTTGGGGCATGAAAACACTGCTGTAGTTTGTATGTCTGCTTTGGTCCTTCCCTCTTGTACCCTTAGCTGATTTTTCATTGATTTGAAAATGCTTCTTATATATGAGAGTTAGAAACCCCTGTGTTGTGCTGTATGAACTCCCTGATACTTTGCCATTTAATTTGTTTAATGTTTCAAAGTCAAATATTTTTATGCATTCCTGCTCTTCTGCCTTTTCTTCAGGACGTCTTCCTTTTGTTTCATCTTGAAAAGGAATTACTCATCTACATATCAAATGTTATTTTTTTTTCCAACCAGAGTTAAGCCTGTGGTCTTGATGGGTTTGGCTCTAATTTTCTCAGTATTTACTCCAACGGCCTTTTTAGTTGGTGACTTTGGAACTCTGTCAACACAAACTGGCCTTTTCACGCAGTGCCAGCTTCTAATTTTCTAAGAAAAAAAATGAATAAGGAGGCAGCTGTGCAGGGGGAGAAGGCATAGGAGGATGCATTGAGAGCTAATAAGCCAGAGAGTGCCCAGGAGTGAATTGGGTGACACTCAGTGGCACGTCACAGAACTAAACACGGGGTGGTGACTTCTCTCTACAACATATTTGATTTCTGAAGGAGCAGTGGGAAAGATTTCAAACCACGCCCTTCTTACTCTACCCACACTCTCTAAGGAATGGCTTTAACACAACTTCATTGGCGCTGTGTCGGAGCAGGGCCTCGTAGCGACTCCTGTATGTGCACCTATTGGAGAGGGGTACAGGATGACACTGCCAACATCGTGATCTCTTCCCATCTCCAGTTGGATACAGAAGCCCAACAAAGACCCTGCTGCTCTCAAGCCTAAGGCACGTAGGGCCACTAGTGAGGACAGTGTTAATGCCAGGCTAGTTGCCAGTGAGAATGGACACATCCTGTGAAGAATTTGAAATCAAGGAACAGTTACCGCTTCCTGGATAGGATGTGGGTGCCATCTTACTGAGCACAGTCCTTTATGCGAAGATCCTAAACTTTCAGGCCATGTTTCTTGGCATGGCAGGCATTTGTTATGGCTCTCTGTTGACAATCACGAAAGGCTACTGCCATATGATGACATCTATGTTCATACTACAAACATTTCTCTCCAAAGTTTATTCCAGTGCAATGGACAAGGAGAAATAGGGGGGTTAAAATATTTGGAATATATACACAATCCTAAATTATAACAGGCAGTGCCAAGTCTTTATGGCATTAGATATAGCCAAGAAATTTAAGAGAGAGCCCTGCTTAATGGCAGGTGGTCTCCCATTTTACCTTGGCTACAAGCTTCCCACGAGTGCACAACCACATAATTAATTATTTTTTTTATTACACTGTGCTAACAGTAGAGGGCAGAGATTTAAATGAACTCCTATAAAACAAACTTCTTAACATTAATCAACCTTTAAAAATCATGTCTGTATTTTTAATTCTCTGTATATGTAAGTGCGCCTACATGAGCTCATGTGCATCGTGTGTGTGTGTGTGTGTGTGTGTGTGTGTGTGTGTGTGTGTGTGTAATGCCCACAGGGTCTAGTAGAGGGTGTCAAACCCCATGAACTAGAGTTCTACATGATTGTGAGCAGCCTGATGTGGGTGCTGGGAACTGAATTCAGGTCCTGGGCAAGGAGCATCTGAATTGCTGATCCAGATCTCCAGGTCCAAGTTAGTTTTAAATGACACTGTGACACTGGATGTCCTCAAAGAAAATGTGAGCATGGTGGAGAAAAAGGACATTCCTGGTCTTTTGCTGACACTGGCTAGCTTTGTAAGCCTCCAAACTGTCAAGCAGACATTCTGCCTAGACTCAGAAGCACAGGGATTAAGAGGAGTGAGGAGAGCAGAGAACCAGGCTGAACTTGAAAAGCAGTTCGGGAAGGGAGGCAGCTTTCCTGGGAGAGGGCCTGGATGACGTTTGGAAAGGTTTCACCTGTGGTGTCTGCAAACACAGAGATGGGAGAAAGAAGCTGTAGTAGCCAACCACATAAGCAGACCCTGAGCTCCTGAGATGGTGGGCACCTCAACACCTCTCCTGAGCTGACAGTACACTCCACTCATACGTGGTATCAGGGTTATGCCCTATGATGCCGATGGCAGAGGGATTTGGGTATTTTTTTCTTTTTTTCCCCAAAACGTTTCTCAATGAAACTGGTCCCTTTAGGGCTGCCCTTGACTGTGCTACCTACAGTCATTACCAACGGCAAGACCAGAATCCAGCATATTTCAGAACAAAGGAAGACAGAGATTGCTAGCAGGCATGCAGCCGTAAACAGGTCTGAAAAAAGACTGATGGACAGTCATCAAGATTTCAGACTATGCAGTTGTCTGTCTCTGTCGTTCCCATTGCTGGAGCAAAGCCTTAAAAAGCCATACCACCTATTGTTATTGTTTAGAAAATATTTACTGGCTCTTATACTACTTTGGCTGGCTTTGTCCCCATTAGCAATCAAGTGCTCTACCGTGCAGGCCCAAAGCAGTGAGGACAATCATCACAGATGATTTTTTACAAGTTGACTATTACCGAGTTCCTCACCAGAATCAAACAATTAATCAAACAAAACAATACATATTATTAAGAAAAAACTTTGTGTAGTCCATCCTGACTTGCTAAATATTTTTCATCTACAATTTCCTGCACACTGAGAAAATACCGACAGTTTCAGAAACAAAAATTGTAGTAAAGCTAAACAGACTGTAACTATCTCTTCAGGTTTGTGCATTCCAATTTTTCTTCTTCATTTCTTTTTTTTTTTTTTTGTGGTTGTTCCACTTCCAACTTCACATCATTAGATCTTTAACAGATTCTACCAGATACTGGGCAGTTTAATAATGTTTGCAAATATTTACATCAGATATAGTCTTTCTTTATTTAGGATGCCATGATGGAGCAATGCATTTTACATAAATATATGTTATACAGCAGGATAATGCAATTTAATATTGTGAGGTGCCTGATAGTATCATTGCATAATATTGGGCATAGTTGAGGTAGGGAGAATAACAGAGTTTGGCTTACTGGGAACTTCTATCTAAAAAGTAAATCTGAAAAAATGTTTGGAGGGCTGCTCTGAAGGATTTACTATTTAATCAAGTTGTTCTTTGTCAGCATGTAACAAAGAAGTGTTCCGGTTGTATGCTAGTCCAATTTATACAAATGGTATTCATTGTTGACATGCATAAAGAAACTTATTAAAAATGAAATGTCTCAATAAAAAAAGCCATATCACCAACATTTCAACTTTAATTTAAAGTCTAGTATGAACTAGATCAATTCTGTCTCTCTAGATTATGTCCAAGAAGAAAAAGACAGAAAATCTTGTTTCAAGCTTTTGTTGTTGAAGAAAGCACTTTCTTAGACATAATCATCAGTACTAATTGCCACACAGTGGAAAGTCGCCGACTATCTTACCCATTGCTATTGTCATTTGAGAAGTGACAGGTGTTCGCAATGCTTCCATGCTGGGCATTTGATGTTACATGACTTAATGTGCATGCTTACCTCTTGCAAGTGAGACTCCTTTTTCTTCGCCGACAAATTCAAATGCTTGTCCAGAATAGAATAGTATTTTTCACTCTCCTTGTCAAACTTCTTCTTTCCATCCTAGGGAACAGCAATTCAAACAAAAAGAAGATTCAGATCAGAGCATTAAGGGTGTGGTGTCATCGTCTCCATCCTCACCAAAAGTCCAAGCTAGTGAGGTCAAAACCTTAATGTAACAGACAAGGAAGAAGGGTGCGAAACACCATTAAGTCTTCATTCTGCTCTCAAAGAGGCTTCCCATCTGTTGGGAAAAGGGGTATCTTTAAGCCACGCTCTTTGAATGCCAGGAATTGTACATGGAGAGACAAAGCTAAGCCACAGGACAGAACTCTATAATCAACTCCCGGGAAGATGCTGTCATCTAGCATGCCTGCGATGTGGCCAAGACAAAGATGCCTAATTTTTTTAAAGGATGTTTTTTGGAAAGTTAGATTGGTTAACGCATAGCCAGTTCAGAAAATCACCCATATAATTCTTCACAAAGTCATTTTATTTTGCAGGCAGGAAAAGACACCTGACTCTCCATTTCTCCTTTACGCATCCCATCTCATTTCCCCTTCCTTTTCCTCTCCTCCCTTTGTTTCTCTGCCTTTTCTTCCCCCTTCTTTCCACACATCAATTCACCCTTGCTCGTGTTTCAGACTGGAACTTGCTAGAAAGACCAATGCCCTGTCACTGCCCACAGTGCAGCTGAGTGGCCGCCACTGAGCAAGGAGGAGCTCAGTGGTCATGAATGAGTCCACCTTCAGACCAGACGGAAAAGAAGAACTCCCCCAGTGCAGCTCAGGGGTTGCTGCACGGTAACAAGGGTGCCACGTGCAGCCCAGTCCCGAGATTTCAAACGACTCATTTTTACAGAAGATGCTGGCACCTTCAAATAATTAAAATTCGAAGTCACACCAACAAAAGAGCAATCACATCTATGCCATATTCGCTGGAGGGAACTCTGACAGCTGTCATTTTCTTTTCCCTAAAATGTTTCCTGTTCTCTTCCTTTCTTCTTGGTGGTGGTGGTGGGGCCTGTAAACAGGCTGACCTCTCCTGAAGAAAGCAGAGAATCTTTGCTCCTCCGGAAGTGGGAAGGGTAAATGTGGGGAAGCACTGACCAGAGCGGGCTGTCGGGGCTCCTCGTAACCAGACACTGCTCAGCACGGGCTCCCTGTATATACCGCCTTGGCCATCCCGACTTGTCTCCCAGGTTGTTTAAATGCCTCTCCCTGGCTACCCTCACCTGGAGAGTCTAAACACTTTTAAACTGAAGCTCTGTGGTGAGAGGGCAGACGGCCTTGCTTCAGCACATGTAGAACGTCACAGGCGAAGTGAGGTCCTGTTGGTGGGGGACGCCTCTGAACCTGACCCCTCCCCAAAGCCCCAGTGCCACCACCCCCCACACACACTGCTAGAGCAGAATTTACAAAGGAGCAGGCGACTGAGCTGACAGGGAGCAGTGAGTACAGTTCTGCCTGGCCACCCGAGCTGAACTTCGGCTCACTCTGAAGCACTGAGACACACACTGAGTATCTGTACAGTGAAATACTGCATCTGTGAAATCGAGAGGAAGATGTCAAGACAAGCCAGGGATGGTGGCGCAGGCCTGTAGTCCCAGCACTTGAGAGTCAGGGGCCTAGGCAAGCCTAAGCCATAAGGCAAGAACCTGTCTCCAAAATAGATGAAGTAGTATACAGCAAAGGATATGGGAAATACAACCCACCAAAGACCAGACAAGCCCCAGGGTACGGATCGAAGAGGCTGCTGTGGTCATCGTCCACATTTTCACTCCTGGAGTGGTCACCTGGCTTGATGTGTCCCCTTTCTGTCCTATTCTTGGTGGACATGACTGTTTAATCTGACATTTCATGCCTGAAACTCACCTGCCCATCTTATTCTCCTTAGAAGGCCCCCTTCTCTCCACTCCATTTTGAGCACTCAGCCCTTTCTCTGCTATTTGTGGAATATTCAAATCGGGCCTATGCTCATCTAGCTCCCTCTTTTGCTGTAGGAGATGCACTGTAAATGGTGACTTCCAAGGCCATGTACATTGTTATGGTGGAGAAGCTGTTCCTGTCCATGTCCGTCTGCCTTGAAACTGAGGAACAAGTGAGTGAGAGTGAGAGTTCTCAGACACAACACCTACTGATGCTTCTGCAAGGCCAATTATGCTGGGCCGTGGTCCACCTAACAGTCGCTTATCGCATTTCTCTGCCTGTGAACTGTTGCCTTTGTGAGCATTAGCTTTTGGCATGTATAAGCAGACACACAGCCACCCCAGACAGCTAAGAATCCCATCAGATGCATCTTAGGCCATAACCAAGATTTCTTCACTTTAACTTAGCCCACTTACTTGGTATTTCCACCTTAATTTATCGATTTCTTTGTTTTGTTACTAAAAAAAAAACTTCATTACACTATTACTATGTTGAAAAATTAAATTTGTAGTCAACTCAGTGTTCCTTAGCATGGCCACTCATATCTGGCTCCAGAATAAACTCTCTTTTGGTATCTCCTGTGGGGGACAGTTGTTTTCACATTGGCATGAGGAAACAGTAGATATTTAATGAGCAAATAACATTATTATTTTTTTGTACTGATGGGCACCACAGTTGGTCACAGATCTGCTAATCGTTCAATCAACTGTTACACAAGACCCAAGAGGACATTCTGGAAATGAAACTATTTAACCCCGCCACAAGGATGCCTACCATCTGTGTGTGAGCAGCTGCATGCCTTCCGTTGGACAAAGGGGCTCACAGTCTCACTGGGCACTGGCGGGGAAGGAAATGGGTTCAGGAAAAGTGCTCAGCTGCTGGGAGGACACTTGAATCTTTGTTTTCACACAGTGATGGGTGACATTTTTGGAAATGTTAATTTGATGCCATTACATCAGCATATTTGGCAACACAAAGATCAATCTTAGAACCGCTTTTTAGATTTTTATTCGAACTTTGGCCCAAGAGCTGATATAAAAGACTGGACCACGTAAAGGAGTCTATAACGTAGGAAGCGAGCTCTAGAAAGCAAAATGTAGCAGCACTTCATATAGTTCATGACCTCCTATGAGCTATGACTCACTGCTGAGGCACTCCAGGTCTTCCGTGAAGACTTAATAGCATGACTTCAGAAACAACTGCCTCTGAAACCAGAGCGGCAGGTGGAGAGAAAGTTGACCCATGAATCTTTATATGAGCATGATCACTGTCTTCTTAGTGTTATTACAAGATAAAAAACAAACAAAAACGAACTATCTTATTTATTAGCATGGCATTTTCCTAAAAGCCACTTTGCATTAGGTCACCATTTAAAGGAAGCCAGTGAAAATGATGGCTCGAGGGAGGGAAACAGCGAGGAAGGGATTATCAGACACTAAGGACGTATATGAAGTACCATAGAAAGTCAGACTGTGTTTAACATCGTGGTTGGGGTAGACATCCTGATTGGGGCAGACACAGAGATCAGAGACATCCTGAGACCCCCCCCCCCCACAGCAGCGAAGAACAGCATCCATTAGCACAGGTGGCAATCCGCTGCTCTCTCAAATCATGCACTCTGCAGAGATCTATGATCTCCAGGTCACTGTGGCTGGATGACACTTTTCTTGGCTGGGGGTATCATGGGGAGGTGCTGGGGGAGTCATGACAATTCAAACTCCACGTGCCAACTTCACTATCAGAATATTTATTATAAAAAATAAATAGTTACAAACCTTAAGGAATACCATGTACATTAAAAAAATTAAAGCACATTAGTGCTAAAATGCGGCTAACTCAAAGCCCTTCTTCAGGCTACAAGCAGATAGTTTGAGGAACAGTGTGACGGTTTGAATGAAAGTGAACCTCACAGACGCATGTGCCCCCCAGTTGTTGGAAGGAACTGTTTGAGAAGGACTAGGAGGCGTGTTCAGGTTGAAGGAGGTGTGTCACTAGGCCAGGTTTTGAAGTTTCAAAATATTTGTGACATTCCCAGTCTTACCCCTCTCGATCTCTCTGTGTCTCTGTCTCTGTCTCTGTCTCTGTCTCTCTCTGTCTCTGTCTCTCTCTCTCTGCCCCCGTCTCTCTCTCTCTGCCACTGACTTATACATCAGCATTGAAGGTCACATCTGTGCCATGAGTTCTGCTATGATGGCCATGGACTCACTCCTTGAAACTTTAAGTCCCAAATAATCTCTTTCTTCTATAAGTTGCCTTGTTCATGGTGTCTTATCACAGCAATACATAAGTAACTAAGACAAACAAATCCTACTACATCTAGATAATTCAAATACAAAAATTTAAAGTGATACCTAATCATGTTTGCTCATTTTGTAGAGTTAGGTAAGGAGAAACTTTGAGACAGCACTTCATACTGTATCCCAGGCTAGCACAGAATTCACTTCATTTCCTAGGTAACAATAGTCCTGCCCCCGCTTCCAGAATTAACCATCATACCTGGTTATATTATTTGCTCTAGAAGACTACTATAAAAACCTATTTACAATGTAGTACTGGTAACCTTTAAATTATAGTTCAAAAATCAAGGAAGTGAATAAATATTTTTAAATTTCTTTTATAAATTGAATACAAATTTAGGATTCATTCTAAAGATTTTTTTTTAGCATTGCAACTGCCACTCAGACCACCATAAAATTTCTCTTGCAACTAATTTTTCACCACTTTAGTGTAGCCATTGTCTAGTGTGCAGGAGCTACATGCTTTGAGACTTCAACTCAGCACTGAGGATGGTGATCAGAAGATTAGCAACAGGAACCATTCTACTTCAAATTATGGGGTCTTGTTTTATTTTACTGGTTTTTATTTACTTTTCATTTAATTTCATTTGATGTGTGTGGGTATCTTGTCTGCACATCACATGCATGCCTAGTGTCCATGAAGACCAAAAGAAGAGCCAGATCCCCCAAATTAGAGTTACAGAAGGTTATGAGCTGCCACTTGGGTCCTAGGAACTGAACTCAGGCTCTCTGCAAGAGCAAGAGATACTTTTAACTACCTAGCCCTCTTTCCAACCCCTAAATTTAAGTAGTCACCATGGTAGGCATTGGTACACAGGTGTGATCAAGACTGCACCAT